TCCTTTCACATCTAGACATACAATTGCTTCTTGGCAACCCTTAACCTCCCATCTTCTCTGCCTTTCTCATGCTATCACAGGGTCCCACCCTCCCCAACAGCAAAAAGCTTCTGCTCTGTACTCAGCCATTGCCATCGGCATAGACCACACTCTTGTTCCTCTTGAGTGGCAATCCTTCAAGAACTGCTCCATTTCGCCATTATCTTCTACCATACCCCACCACCCTTTAGTGCTCTGAGACCACATGAATCAATCCTACTTTGATCTCCTCACCCTTCCCAACCTACATACACACCTATACACCTGTATTTGCATGCACATGTACACACACACACACACACACACACACACACACACACATCCTATAGGAACTTTTGTCACGGACACCAGCCACACATTTTACTGGCCTCAATGGTCAATTCTTAGACATAGCTTTTCTCAACTCATTGTGAACTGGCCTCTGCCTTGTGATTCACTACCCCAGGCCAGGTCATGCTTGTGGTGCCATCCCTGTTGATTGAGGAAATGGGCATCATTTGTTCTATGGTTTAGTGGCAGATGATTGAAAACATCAACCAACTTGATATGTCCTGTACCACCATGTGTTTGCTAGTGACCCTCAAGTGCCATTGTAGTCATGCCATGCTTTCCAGTTGTGGAGTAGGCACCACCAAGCCTCGGGTGCTTGTTCAGTAGTCCAAATTCTCCAAGTCTAGAGTCCTGTTTTGTTTTATGCATGCTAATCTCACTTTCTTAGGACCCGAGCTTTTACTCAGTGGTGTATGTGTGGATATAGGTCCTTTCTCCTTGGTCAGACTTTTCCTGGATGTTGTGAAGACTTCAGTAATAGTAGATATTCCCCTATCACTACTCATCAGCTATTAACTAATAATAGCTCTGGTGATAATGGTAAATAAGTAATTTTTAGTAGTGACCACATGCCAGACCATTGCATGATGCCTTGGATGACTGATGCTATTGAGTGCTATGTAAGATGGGAACACTGTAATTTACACTTTTATGCCTAAGTAACATGGCTGCAAGGATTTCTAAGCAACTTACTCATGGACATGTAGCATGCAATGGGGATCTGGAATTCAATTCCTGCTCTATCTACAGCAGCCAGCACACAGAGGCCTGAGCAATACCCGGTACTTTCTTTGGCCTCCACTGTCAATTCTCTGTGCTCTGAAGCCTGGCTCTCTTCAGCTTGCCCCGTCATCCACCTCACCAACTGGCTGATCCCTGAAGCTAGTTCTCTCTCCAGCTTGCTACCTATGGTGTCTCTGGCAGCTGTGACTTAATTAACAAGCTAAGGCTCTTGAACAAATTGTCCAGGCTAGTACATTCCCTTTGATGTTACAGGAAATGCAGGTTGTGTATGTATGCTCGAATTGCGGCCAAAGTAGGGAAAGTACACATGGACTTTATCGCCAGAAGCTCTCATTTTATGCCTAAATCACATATGAAGTGGGACACATGGTGATTTGATGTTAGTTATTAAATTTGATAATTCCCAATTTACAAGGTGATTGCTTGTTGCTATTCTGATCATTAGTTAGTTTGAATTAGTGATGAAAATACAGCTGCTGTTAACATTTTTGTTTATATCCAGCTTGAATAATAAATTGAAGTACGCGTAGCCAGGGAGAGAGAAGTGCCCCCTACACACATCTACGCACATACGCACATGCATCCACACAAGTAGACAATAAATATGAATGTTTAATGCCAAATGCAGGCAAACGTTCTTGTGGCAGGAACTAAAAGCTCTTTTTCTACCTTCTGCCTTGCTCATTTCTGTTCTGCTACCCTGGTCACCTGGGAAGACCCTGCAAGTCTTCTCCAGCAACCCTCTCTCATTTGCCTCCTTCAACAGTGTATCTAATGAGCTACCAGTCCTGTCAATTAGATGTCCCTGGTGTTGCTCTCCTGTGGCTCTTCCAGTCTTTCTTTCCTTTACAGTCTCTTGCCTGTCCCACCAGCGGGATATCCTTGAAGCACAGACTGGAAATGCAACATCCATGTTCCGTTCTTTTCTGAACTTCCTCCATTGTCCACTGGATAACAGGGGCTGTCTCTTGGCTTAGTGTTCGAGGTTCAAGCTTAGCCTGTCCAGCCTCCTGCTCCACTCCCATTCACTTGACATAGGTGCATCTGCCTAACTCCTCCTGGTTCTCTGTCAGGCACCATACGTCTTGTTTTCCAGCCTTTGGGAATACATGTCTTTTGGCAGACATGCCTGTAAGCTCTTCCTTTTGCTGCAACAGGCTCAGGTCCCTGCAAAATGAATGGCTTCCTGGGAAACAGGGCCCTCGTGTCTTTTAACGGTAAGAGAAGTTCCCTCTCCTGCCTTAAAAAATGGTGAGGATTAAGACCATTCCTAAGTCTTTGCTGTGTCTTCTAGAGCTAGAATGTAACAATGACATCTAGTAGTTTTCCCTAAGCCCTTGTAGGTATTCTGTGCATGGGGCTTATAAGGACGATGGCAAAGTGTGATTAATCACAGTGTATAAAAGGAATGTGGCTGGGGTCCTCTGATGGAGGAGCTAAAACCATTGGCTTCCTTGGTTGTGTGCATTTTAGTCATCAGTTCAGCAAATGTAGTGACTACTGGTCATTGGGCTCTGCGCTTTATCCAGGGGGACACAGGTACATCCGATAAGTGTTCACATCCTGGAGCTCCAGTGCCAATAGAGGAGGCCACAGTAAATCTAGATTGGTATGGTGCCAGTGAAAGGCAGGGGGGTTGACCAGCAGCTTTCTCTTTCCCAGGGGCTTAAGAGGGCTCTGTGATTGCCTATTTCCTGCTCTGCATCATGTCTCGGTAGGACAAATCCGGCCACATTATTTGCTATGTTCTGAAAGAAAGAAAAGCACAAGACTACTTGTTCCAAAATTATTAAGAAATGCAAGGGGGCAACAGCCAGACCTTATACAAAGCCTGGCACCCTTGTGTGTTAGAGGAAGCCCTGTGAATTGCACAGGTGACGTGCCAATCAAGCAGATCCTGCCAAAGGACTAGGAAGCACACAGAGAGCACGACTGGGGCTCTGTTATCCTTATGAAATGATTCATCAGAGTGTAGAGAGAGCCCAGGTCCTGATGGCCTGAGAGGTACTTGGACACACATAACTGTATACAGGCCAGTGGCACATATATACTCACTGCCTACTACGAGCTAAGAACTGTGGCGAGTGTCAGGAATACAGTGGCAGAAGCAGATGGACACATTTTCTGTCTGTGCGTGTGTGTGTGTTTCTCACTGGCTGACGTCAGTAAGGGAGACCCGCTGTAAACAAGCTCACAAAGAAATGCACATGAAAATCACGGATTAGGAGCAGTGTTGTGAAGATGACAAAGCAGAGTGATTCAGTGGGAGAGGGAGGCAGGGAGAGGGTGTATTAGATTAGTATGATACAGTAAAGCCTCTCCAAGGAACTGTCACGAAAGCTTGGCTACACATAGCTTGTTGTAGAGCAACAGGTAAAGATGCTGCAGGCATCGGTTCACTGTGCAAATCTCTGCAATGCCTTCCTGTCCAAAGTGAATCAGCATGGTGTATTCAGAAATGGTGAAGCCAGGTACTGGTGATACAAGACTGTAATGTTTGGTATCAGGAGGGTGAGAAATGCAGATGGTGATTTAAAGTGAGTTCAAGGAGATATATCCGAGAATCAGAGAGACTCTATCTCAACCACAAAAAAGTCAAAAGTGGAGCTGTGGCTCCAGTGGTGTATTGCTAGCCCTGAGTTATAAAGAAAGAAAGAAAGAAAGAAAGAAAGAAAGAAAGAAAGAAAGAAAGAAAGAAAGAAAGAAAGAAAGAAAGGAAAGAAAGAAAGAAAGAAAGAAAGAAAGAAAGAAAGAAAGAAAGGAAGGAAGAAAGAAAGAAAGAAAGAAAATAAAGACAGAAAGGAAGGAAGGGAAGGAAGGAAAGAAAAAGAAAGAACAAAAGAAAAATGTCAGGGACAGCATCTGGTCTCTGAATTCAAGTGGTACATACAATGAGGATGTTTGAATTTTTGATATGATACCCCCTACACCCTTGTAATAAGGGCACAGCTCTCCCCCTCCCCTCCAGATCCTGTGAAGCCAGAAAGATTTGGCACCCCTGTCTTGGGGCAGATGCTTTCCAAGATCTGCTCTGATACTCAGGCCCGAGTGTAGAACTGGGACCCACTTAGAGGCAGTGTGTATGTTTGGGGGGGGGGGGCGGAATTCTGAGAATGTCCTCAGGTGAGGTCTAAGCCTGGTCCACTGCGGGGCCATCTTCCTTTGCCTGCAAACCCCTCGGAGACTGCTCCGCGGAGTAGTGTCAGTGTCTTTTCCCCGTTGGAAGCAAGGGGCTGAGATGCTCAGTTTCAGATGAGCTAGCTGTGCTCACAATGGCTGGAGGCAGTGAGGACAGCGATCAGGGAGGATTTCTGGGGCCGGGAAAGACACAGGGGAAAAGCAGAAGGGTGCAACAGGTAGTGGGAAAGACTGGTGAGTACAGATCGAGCCTGTTGCGTGCCAGTGGGTAGGAACGGGTGGCAGCAATGCAAAAGCTCACCCAGTTCTCAGCCTTGGCCCTGCTTGGACTAGCCTGCGGCCATCCTCGAAGCCTCAGCGGCTGCCTGCCTTTTCCCCCAGCTTGGGCCCCAGCGCTGCAGGCTCGCCTTCTCCTCCCTCCTCTCCTCCCCCTCCCCTCCCACCCGCCCCTCCGTCCCTGGCTGTCTGGCAGCGCCGCAGTGGTGGCGGCGGGGGGCCTTGGCGACCAGGCTCCCTCCTCTCCCTCCATCCTCCCACCGCCCGCCCCACTGCCGCAGTGATCACGTCGTCGGAGATTTCCATCGGGGCTAGGAGGCGGGGCCAGGGTGGGGAGGGCGGGGCGGGGCGGGGCGGGGCGAGTGGGAGGAGTGAAAGTTGGAGCGCCACAAAACCCAGCACCTCCGGCTCGGCGCGGCCAGACCTGCGCCGCGACCTCCGCACAGGTGGTCGCGCCGGTCTTCGCGGCGGCGATGTTGCCGAAAGTTCTACTGGCCCTCCTGAATATATTCATGATCCTCCAGGCGAGGTGAGTCTCCAGCCCGGGACCCCAGTGCCCTGCATGCCCATCTCCAGCTCTCTGGGAGCCCAACTGGCTTCCCGACCCCTTCCTTCGCTCCTCCCCGGACTCTCAGGCAGCCTCTTCCCGCCCCGTGTCCCCTCGACGCACAGCGGCTGCCACCGGGATGCATCTGGGATGGGTGTCCCAGGCCGCCCAGGGGTCGGGTGGGGGGTGGCAGGAAGTCTTCCGGCCCCCAGGCGCAGTAGGCTCCCCTCTGGGTCCCCCCTATCACGGCGGCGCCCTAGGCATCCAGCGCGAAGTCTGCCTTGGGAACCGGGGCAAAAAAAAAAAAAAAAAAAACCGTAGTGTAAGCCGCGGCGGAGGCTGGCGCGCACGGGGGCTGAGTGGACACTGGGTGCGTCGAGACTGTATGAGTGTCGCCTCGTCTGCTCTCTCTTGTGCTTATGGTTTGTGTTTTGCCTTTTTCTTTTCTTTTCTTCTCTTTCTGAGTGCCTATGGGGAAACAGGGCAGGATGCCAGGCAACTCTGACTTTACTTGCTTCCCATCCCGTCGCGCATGTAGATGCCCGTCGCAGCTTTGGTTTTTGCCTAAGGGTTCCTTTCCCAGCTATCCTCCACTTGCAGGGGGTACAAACGGCCTCAGCAACGCCCCCCTCACCCCTTGACCCCCTAGATACCCTACTGGGTCTTGGGTACCACGTAGGTAGGAATGTAACTGTGTGATCTTCTTCTTGGGTCTCAGTACCCCTCCCCCCTTTAGCTTTCCCCACACTGGCCAGCTTCCCTTACACACCCTCCTCACCCCAGGACTTGGCTGCAGAGTTGATCCCCTGGATTTCTGGGTTTTTAAGGGGCAAGATGATTGCTACTGCTTTTTTTTTTTTTTTTTTTTTTTGAGACGGTTTATTGCTAGTGCAAACTGTTGCAACTTCCTAAGCTTTCTGATCTGTGGAGCTTTCTAGAACTTTCCATGACACTGGCCTTGTATCTTGTTTATCTGTTTTGGAGAGGAACAGGATGATTTCTCCCCCTCACACTCCAGGTTGACTTAGCTCCTTGGAGGAAGGATGGAGTAACTCCCTGATAAATTTCGGGGGCTCTAAGGTGGGACTGCCTCAGCAGAGGCTTGGTGCTTGTTTCTCAATGTATGTTAACAACTGCCACTCATCCCGATCACTGTGGGTGAGATTTAGGCTACTTAAGAGATTTAAACATGGTGACTGGCTAGGGCAAAAGATGGCTGAGGGGACTAGGAGGAGAGAGGGGATGAAAGAAAAACAACCCTTCCAGCCAAGGGGGGGGGGGGGGAAGAGAGCTGCAGCAACTGACGTTCAGACCCTGTCAGCATGGCAACCTGTGATGTCAAGAGAGGAGGTAACAATGAAGTATGCTGGGCCATATTCAGCCACAAAACCTCGTTCTGGTCCAGGATCAGCCTCAAACCAGTCCAGTGTATGAGTGTTTTCAAATTTGTATTCTTTCTAGCCGCAAAACATGAGATTGATGGCTTTCTGGAGACAGTTACATATTGTGAGGAGATCCTTAGCTTCAAGAATCCCAGAATGGGGTTGTTCATTTGTTTATTTTATCTGATAAAATCATAGTGTGGGGTCAAAACAGCCTCAAGCTCCTATGATATAATTTTCTTAGCAGATGTAGTCTAGGGACAGGAGAGCTCTTAAGGGCCGCCATTTTCTATCCTCCTCTCCACAATGCTGGCCCTTACCTCTTCCTCTTCAGGAGACTAAGGGATGACGTCCCAGCACCCAAAAGATTTGCAAGCCCTCAGGGAAGAAGACATCAAGACATGGTCTAAATATGGCATTTAAAAGTGTAAATTGTTTTCCCAAGACAAGTCCTTCCTTACTCCCTAATGACAATTAGCCACTTCAGAAATGAGACATGGCACCCAGTTAACACATCTGGATGCCAGTTAACCGATTCTAAGACCTTGAAATACTACAGACAAAAAAATCCCATCCCAAACCTCATGTTACTGTCTAAGTTGATGGTCCTTTTGATTTGAAATAAAGGGGCTTCTTACTCACTTTACTTCTTAGTTTAGGAAGTAAATGGTCTAATGACTTAGAAAAATCATTTCAGAAGTGAAACATATACATTTTTCAACCCTTGGTATTGTGACTAAACAGTTGAGGGGATTCTCACAATGTAAACATGCTAATGTAACTGATACCCACATAAGGTACTAAACAGCAGCCACCTCCACCCAAATCTCACAAAATGTCTCCTTCTGCTACAGTCTCCCCGCCAAACAAGACCACTTTCCTGCCTTCCAACATCACACACAATAATTTAGGCTGATGGCTTTTAAAAAGGCTTTTAATTATACATGTGTGCAAAGATATAGAAGAGTAGAGGCACAATTACAATGAATCTCACCTACCCACTACCAGCCAATTTATCTATGAATTACTGCCACTTATTTTCTGTGTCCCCCTACCCACCATCCATTTTTAGCTTTGTTTATTTTGGAACAAATCTCAGATGTCATATCATTTTGGGTGTAAATATTTTTCTTTTTAAACGACTTCACAAATGTAAGAACATTTTTTTTATCACATCATTGCATCAAAAATTTCAGAATAATGTATGTATGCTTCAACTATCCTGTCAGTGTTCAAATTTGGGGGGCTTTCTTGCCGTTTTATTCAAAAAATCAAGAACCACAGTAAGATCCATAGATTAACGGTGGGAGTGTTTTTATTAGTAAAATCCTATTTATTAATTTAGACCCCTATAAAAGTGCTCCAGTCTTATGTGTACAGCTGGTGAGCTGTCAGAAAATGAGCACAGTGATTTCAAGAAAGACAGGTCAAGGATTGGAATATGCCCAAACCTCTGAAGTTCCCTGGCTCCTTTCATCATTACTGTTTAGCTTGACCCTCTGACGCTCTAGGGGAATTTCATACATTAGCAGATGAATCTTAACTTTAAAAGATACAAATACACACACACACACACACACACACACACACACACACATGTGCACTTGCGCACGCGGGCGCACACACACACACACACACACACACACACACACACACACACACATATATTTTCCTTATTGGTTGTGGTGCTCAGGATGGATTACTGCTGGCCCGCCATTTTCTGGATGACAGTCAGTCTCTGGGTATAGGAGTTCTGCTTTTCCTCAGTACTGACACAGCCATAAAAGAACTGCTCTTTAGCCTGCCTTCCTCTACCTCCTGTCTCCAATATAATAAGCATTGCAAAATCTGCAAGGGTGTACAATATTTCCGTGATTTTTCTAGTCCTTTTTGGGAGAGGCTGCTTTGGCTTTCTGGAACATTCCCCAGCAGCCATGGCCCTTAGCCTGCCCCTTCCTCCTAAGTGGTACTGCTCAGACAAATGAGAGGCCCAACTAGTAACAGTCTCTGATTGGACAGAGTTCCTACATTCATTTCACATCGAATATCATTTGTATGTGTGGGTCATAATTTTGTTGTTGACTTTTTATGAAACAAACAATTATAAAAGGGGGATAGGCTAGAATGTCCCAAGAGAGTAGCGAGATTTAAAAGAAATTAACAAGTATAATCTGTTAGTGCCTCAGAATTTACTGTAACTAGTCACTAATTAAGCCTTGCATTGCAAATATTTTGGTTATCTTCATCCTGAGAGGCAGCAGCTGCAGTCCCTTACACAGTGGAGGGCAGGGCTTCATTTCTTGTTTGTATTCTAGGCTCGGGGGACATCTGACTACACTGAATAACAAGACCAGTGCTCGTGGTGATGATTTCGTCTATGGCCCCCAGCCTAAGCCCCAGCCTAAGCCCCAGCCTGAGCCTAAGCCTCAGCCTCCTAAGCCTCAGCCCCAGCCCCAGCCCCGCCCCCAACCTCAGCCTTACCCCAAACCCCAGCCTCAGCCCCAGCCCCAGCCCCAGCCCCAACCCCAGCCCCTGTTCAATCCTCTGGGAAGGAAGCTCCTTTCTGAAGAAACAGCACTCAATGTTAGCAAGACTGGACGCACAGGTAGCAAACTGCCGGAAGCTTCTCGAATCCTGAACACCATCCTGAGTCACTATGACCACAAACTGCGCCCAGGCATTGGTGGTAAGTAGCAAAACAAAATTCTTCCCCTCCTGGAAGTGGTGAAGGGTTGTGGGCATGGCATGGAGGATGGGCCCACTGTATAGAGGAGGTGCTTCTGTATGAGGAGAGCTGCCACTGGCCTGGCAGGTAAGAAATGGTGACTCTGATTGCAGAAATGCCACAGGCTTGCTTTACACTTTTTCTTTTTCCCACCCTCAGTTTTTCTAACTATACAATGAGATGCCTAGAATAAACGATTGATTGGTAAAGTATATCTCCAATTGATAACAATGCCTGAGCTGGCTCTTGCCCAGGAAGAAGAAATAAGGAAGTAGTAGTAGTGGGTGTTTCTGCTACTCCTCAAGTGTATCCTTGACATGTAATCTTTCCTGCTTCTGCTTTCCTTGCAGAGAAGCCCACTGTGGTCACTGTTGAGGTGTCGGTCAACAGCCTTGGCCCCCTTTCTATCCTGGACATGGTGAGTACTGAACTTTCTTTACCATAGTTTCAAACCAGGGGCTAAGATACAGGGCTTGTGTTCTGTTTCTGTAAAACAAGAGGGAATTTTGTTTTTTTTTGGGGGGGAGAGTGCAGGGGCGGGGGAAGAGGGGGGTTGGAGGGGGTGTTGGGGGTGGAGATTTTAACCATCACTATCTTTGAAAATATGGCCAGAAAAGGTAAGTTTGCTTCTGCTGGAAGAGGACCTTCAGAATTATGACCATGTCTTCAGTCTTTTGCTACAAATAATAAATAATAAAGCAATTTAAAACACACACCACAATGAAATGCCTCTTTTTTTCCCCTTGATAATTGTTTGTATGAATTTAAGTCTACAGTCACTACCTCTTGCTTTTTCAATTTTGTTTTAGTTGTTCTTCTTCCTCCCTGTCCACCTGTGTCAGCATGGCCTCCAGCTAGCCTTCATCTCTCCCACCTAAAACACACAAAGGGGCTGAGAAGGTGGCTCAATGGTAGAATGCTTGCCTAGCATGCATGAGGCCCTCAGTTCAATTCCTCAGTACCATATAAACAGAGAAAGCCAGAAGTGGTGCTGTGGCTCAAGTGGTAGAGTGCTAGCCTTGAGCAAAAGCAGCTCAGGGACAGTGCCCAGGCCCTGAGTTCAAGCCCAAGGACTGGCAAAATAAATAAGAAAATAAAACACACCAAGGTGTACACCTATCCTAGTCCTACTAAAGCCAGCCTCCCAAGGGGTGTGCTTCCCTCCTGCAGTCCTCATCCTACATATAATGTTTAATTCAATTTCACATTGTAGAAATCAAGGCTGTCTCTGTCTCTGTTCCCTTTCATCCCTTTAGAGACCACAGGCTTTGACCACATTCGAATCTGCACATTCACAGAAGACCTTGAACCTTTGAACCAAGCCCTTGTTCAAGCAGTCTCCTGTTTTACTTGCCATTGCTCTATTTTCTTACACATCAAAAGCCTCCTTCAGGGCCCAGCTCAGATGGTACTATGATCACTTGAATTTCCCTGATTTCCACGGCCACTGATTGCACCCCTCCCATACCATATTCCTCTCTGGACTCTCATATCTTTCTAGTTCATATTTAATTTGTTTTTCCTAGCTGTTTTCATTGTGTTATTTACCCTGTATCTTTCTGCCTTGCTTTATCTATCCACTATGGACTCCTTGATGCCTAGAATTCAGTATATGGTAGCTGACCAAATGAGATATGAAAAATACTCTGAAAGTCACATTTGAAGAGTTTGACAATAAGGAAGGCTGTGGTAATAAACTCCATTGTTGCCATAGAAATGCCTTGGACAGGTTTAACATAGCCACAGGCGCCAAACAATCAGTACGTGATTGAGTGAGTTTAGAGTCTTGGCTTTGAGGTAGACTTTGCTAATTGACACTGGAAGGTGAGTAGCCTTGATGATAAAGAACAAGGTGTTTACATAGGTTCAGTGCTTGAGTGAGTGAAAGAGTGAGGTTCCCCCATGATACTGTCTTTGACTTTCTGGTCCTTGAGACACAATGAACAATTGTGCATAGTTAGATAACAACTTATCTCGATAATACGTTGTCTCAAAAGAGTGAATGTCATGTCAGAAATCGTATGTTCTAGGAATCCAGATGTAATCTAGGTGAACTCAAATCTTTCAGTTTCACAAGTCTACAAATCAAAGTATCAGTTAGGGGTTGAGGTCTCATCTGAGGGCTCAACTGAGGGAGGGTTTACTTCCTTGGTCAACACCATTCAGATTTCCCTGACTGTGATCGAGAGGCCATTTAAAGCCTTTGCTATGTGGAACTCTTTATCCTGTTGTTCACAATATCCTGCTTGATTTCCCCAGATCCAGAAAGTATGTGAAAAGGGTTCTTAAGGTGAAAGCACAAACTTTTTGTCATGTAATTTTGACAGTGACATCTAACTGTATTCTGTTCATTAAGAACAGATCCTTAAGTTCAGCTGATAATCAAATGGAAGGATTACAATAGAGAACAAATACCTAGAGGTAAAGATCACTGGGGGCCATCAAAGAGGCTGCCTATTACGCATGGCCATGATATTTTCCTGTCCGAACATGTAAAGCCTGGAACTCCTACGTGGAGTTAATAAAGGACAGAATTAATAAAGGAATTAATAAAGGACAGAAGTATGAGAGCAGATAGATCTTTCTGAGGTTCTATCTCCGTCTTCAAATTGGTTTTTGTGTTTGTTTTGAGTTTCGCCTCAATGCCAGATTTACCTTTTGATGTTATAAATGTGCTTTCCACTTTAAAATTGTAATCTCCTTTTGGCCATATGACTGATCTTTTCTAAGTAGGTATGAATTTAGCAGGCAGAGTTGTTTTTGTTTTTTATTTTTTGTTTTTTCGGGTTTTTTTTAGTATTGTTTATAAAGTAAGAAACTGTAGACCCTAAGCAAAAGCTAGAGGCCTTGTGTTTCCAAAAGACTGAGGTTTTGTGTTTCCACCATTTTGATCATTGTTTACTCTTAATTGAGTTCCGGTCATTAGTTGGTGAACATGTCTTCTAGAAGCAGTTTTTGCCCTCTATTTTACTGTTCCAGGGTAAATCTCCTTCCTTACTAAGTGGTCCATTTGTCCACTCAATTGGTAAGTTGTCCTCAGTTTCCTATGGAAATTTAGAAGATATGGGGAGAGTACCCACAGTGATAAGCAGCTCCAATGATCCTAACCAGTTTTTCTCTGTTTTCTGGATGAACAAACATACTATAAAACAATATTACTGGAAACTTTGAGGCTACAGTCTTCTTGCAATTTGTGTAACATATAGTTTGAGGACACCAATATTTAACATCCTCAAAAGCCCTTTTGGCAATGAGTACTAACCCCACTTAAGTCAGTTGATTGATCTCTCCTTGCCCCATCTCTCTCTCTCTCTCTCTCTCTCTCTCTCTCTCTCTCTCTCTCTCTCTCTCCCTCCCTCCCTCCTTCCCTCCCTCTCTCTCTCTCTCTCTCTCTCTCTCTCTCTCTCTCTCTCTCTCTCTCTCTTTCTCTCTCTTTGTCGGTTGTGGGACCTGAACTCTGGGCCTGGGCGCTGTCCCTCAGCTTCAGCTCAAGGCTACCACTCTACTAGTTGAGCCACAGTGCCACTTCCAGCTTTTTCTGCTGAGGAATCAAACCCATGGTTTCATGCATGCAAGGCAAGCACTGAGCCACCTTCCCAGACCCATTCCCCCCACCCCCCACCCCCGCCACGTCTCTTAATGCTGTCACTGTCCTCACCTGAGCTGACAAGCCTGGAGGATTCAGTCTTATAATCCAGAATTCACTAAACTTGACATAGCGCACAGAACTGGTCCAGAACAGAGTCAACAATTTGATTTTCAACTCAAGAAACCTCAGCTTCTACAAAGTTCTAAATTATTCTTTAAAGCTCCCAGCTACATTTTTGGAAATGAACTACACTACTTCTATAATACCAAATTTCTTGTTTCGGCTGAGCTGAAAGTGATTACTTCTGTACCCTTCTATACCCTTCTGTACCCTGTTTGGTGCTCAGTAGTTTGGCAGCACCTTTCGTCACTTTTTGTCCTCAGAGGCAAAGCAAGCAGGGAGTTTTTATCTCTTCACTGAGGGCTCTACTGGCCTCTCACATTTGGGTAGTTCCTCTTGTGTGAGGCAATGGTTGCATAGAGGAACGACTTAGGTATACTGCTGAGGAAAAGGGGACTTGTAGACCCAAAAGGATTTTTGACATAAGTCAAGGCCTTGCCAGGTGGGGTTATGGTCCAGGTGTTTCTAGTGACAGAACCAGGGTGCTGTATTGACCGGGTGCCTTTGGACAGCTCCCTATCTTTTCAAGCCTCAATTTTTCCTAATACCAATAAAAGAAATTAGGTAGACAAGCCTTCAGTCCTGCTGTTTAAAATAGCTACTTGCAGTTTTGTTTATTGTCTCATGCCAATTTCTAGCTTCTTCTGTTTCTCCCTACTAAACACCCTTCTTGATGATTAACAGTTTATAGGGTAGACATTATCTGGAAACCAAATAATTATGGATAGATCTATCCATGTGCACATTTACACACACACACACACACACACACACACACACACACACACATTCAGAGGTTACTGGCACACATTTGAAAGGAAAAATAAAACAAAGCAAAAAAAAAAAAAGATTCCATTTGTCCATGTGTAGAAAACATGGAACTAGATCACCACTTCCTGTGACTGAAAGCATTTCATCTTTAAATGTAATTGCAGAGAGTGTAGGTTTGAAGTTATTAACATCCATGCTCCCCAAATAAAAGCTGAAAGGGGAAAGTGGATCATATACAATCAAAGGTGGGTGTGCGTGTGCATGTTAAGTGATTTTGAGCTGCGATCTTATTTATGGTAGCTGTGTGTGGCTGGAAAGACACTGACCCGGCTGAAGTAACAGCACAGCCCTGCATAAGCAGCATGATGTAGTGATAAGCCCAGCTCGTGCAATTAAGCCATTATCACCTGTCTGGTCTTGATGAAATGTATTCTCCCAGACTTTTGTTTATGTGAGCATATTCCTAGTGTCCTGGAAATGGAAAATTCCTACACTCAAAGGTATGCTGCTTTTGTCTGTGGAGGCACAGAGGTCTATGGGTGGCATGAGGTCTTTGCCTACTGGTTAGAGGAGGAGCGATCACCAGGTTATGTCTGGATACAGAAGTTTGAGGGGAGAGGAAGTCCCATTTGCAAATCATTTTAGTCCCCCTTTCATAAAGAGGATAAATATGCAAATTCCAACAAGGCCACAGAGACATTTACCTAAGACTTTATATTTATAATGAAGGCATTATAGGGGAACAAAGTAAGACTAATTGTCACTTGAACCTAACAGGTTCGTGCCTTCCATATTCCTGCCCTTAGTCCTATTTTCAGGGTACATTACATTTTCTGGGATGTCACTTTGTTTCAGCCTAGCTATTTCCCAGTCTTTGACATTCATGTGATTCCATGTTCCCAGGTATGGCCACAGTTCTCACGTGTCATTTTTCAGGATCAAGTCCCATGTTGTCTGTTAGTTTGCCTATGAGATGTTCTCTTCCTCTCACTTGTTAGAAACTATGAACAAACCATATAGCTACAGTTACACAAACCCTAGTCCCTTAAGTAGGTCCTGATGAGGATCATCAGAAGCTAGAATATTACAGCCAACCCTTCCTCCATTTTTGTGACCATATGAATCCTCCAGATTCTTAGCAACTATTAGCTTTCAGAGAGTAGAAAGGGGCTAGGGAAGGGAACGAAGAGTGCTCTAGTTAAAACCTTTCTACTCTGAAAATGCTGGTAACTGCTGCATGATGTGGGGACCTAGCTGCTGTTGCTACTGTACACAAGCATTAGGCTTGCTAACCTTCGAGTCCTTCCCATTCTCTGATGCAGAGGGGAGCTCATCACATTCCTGCTTCTTAGTCCATTGACACATGTATTCTGCCACATTACCTTCAGGATCATAGATTAGTGTCAAAAATGTATTTGTATGTGACTATCCTTTGTCTCCATAACCACCAAGGGTGTGGTTTTCTGTCCTTCCCACCAGGAATACACCATTGATATCATCTTCTACCAGACCTGGTATGATGAACGCCTTCGTTTCAATGACACCTTTGAGTCCCTTGTTTTGAATGGCAACGTGGTGAGCCAGTTGTGGATCCCGGATACCTTCTTTAGGAATTCTAAGCGGACCCAAGAGCATGAGCTCACCATGCCCAACCAGATGGTTCGCATCCACAAGGATGGCAAGGTGTTATACACGATTAGGTATGGCAAGTGTTTAGTATCTCGCATTTGGGGACTCGCCCTTCCCTTCTGTGAATTTAGCCAGAGTCTTATGGGCAGAGATCTCATCTGGAATAATATTTCTAAGGGCCTGTCTAGATTTGTTAGATAATGAGATCAGCCTCTTCTATATAGATACAGACACTGAGGCCTCAAAATTAGAGATTCTATTCAAAGTCATGCACCTAGTTTGTGGCTAAGCTGGGACTGGTCTCTAGTTACTTGGATCCAAGTGCAGAGGTCCCTCGACTAGTAAGTACCAGTATGTCTGTCCTGCTTGAACAATTCCATCCCAAATGGGCATTGGATGTAAAGACACAGTGGTGGAATTGTCCAGGCAGAGCAGCGACACAGCAATTGGAAAGCTATCTAAAAGTAGGTTAGGTATTAGAATGCCCAGCTGGGAAAGGTTGTATTGGTGATAGGGGTGTGTGTGGGGGGGGGGGGGTCATGAAGAATGGGAGACTTTGGCAAAAAGTGAATACTTGGAAACTGGGCTAGTCAAGAAACAAAAGTACATCAAAGTTGGTCCATACTCTTCTCTGATGATAGATCTCAGAGTGCACAGTACATCCAAGCTGTTCCTTCTCTCTTTTTTTTGTCTCTCCTTTGAGCTTTCTGCTTAAATCCTACTGCTGCCATTTATTGAGTGGATGCCAAGTACCCAGAGCTAGCCTAATGAGGCTCCTTTCTCCCTTTCAGGATGACCATTGATGCGGGATGTTCACTCCACATGCTCAAATTTCCAATGGATTCTCACTCTTGCCCTCTGTCTTTCTCTAGCTGTGAGTACTTTCTTAGGTTTCTGGGGAGCCAGAGATATACTGGGCCCCTCTTTTTCCTCTTCTTTGCCCTCTTCATTTTTTTCTGCTTCTGCTTTTCTCCAAAGACGCCACCAAGGTTGTGCATGCCTCCACCCTCCCTTCATCCCCCCATTCTCCTCTCCTCTCCTGCCAACAATACTGTGCTGCTCTATGTGGCTTTCATGTTGGATTTTCTCCTCACTTGCATCTGCCTTAAATTAGTCATCTGCTTCTAAAGTGCCTCTAAAGTATGTCTGTTCCTCTCCATCTCCATCTTGGTTTAGTGCTTTGTCATCTTCCACTTGGACAGTTGTAACATCTTCACTTTGAAGCTGAACATGCCCCAAATTCATTGTCTCTTCCTACCTGCTACCTCCAAACCGGATGTGTTGTTGCTGTGTCCCCATCACCACCTTGTTGTTCTAGCGAAGAACTTTGATGCTTCTGTGTCCCTAGCTTCCCGCTTATACGCAATCCATACATCTTGCCGGTGTTCCCTCCAGGACTCTGTTGAACCCATCGATTTTCTCTTTGTTCTGACTGTCATGGCTTTTACTCCCGCTTACGGCCATTTTATTGTGCTTAGATTACTACACTAGCCTCTCATAACTGGCCAACTTGTCAACATGCCATCCTCACACAAGAACCAGAGTGACCTAGTAGAAGCATTATCTAGACCAGGGTCACTCCTTCATTTCAAATCCTGTCTTAGCTCTCATAGATCAATTCTAAATTCCTTCATATGGAACTCAAGGCCCTTCATGAGCTAGCTTCTGCTTCTTCCTTCTGCAGAGTTCATCCTCTGTGAGGCAGTCATCCTGCAAGTTTACCATTGCTACCATGAAACCAACATTTCATTGTTCTGTGTCACCTTTCACTCCCCTTCCACCTCGTCTACATGGAGAATGTTGACTTTTAAGACTTAATGGGAATGTCACCAACTCTGGGAAGTTTTTTCTGAGTGTGTCCCCAAGAGAACCTTGCTGCTTTATTTCTCATTGTCCCATTGGCAGAGGTTTGTCAGAGTCATTCTAAATCACACAGCTCTACACTTAGTGTCTTAATAAAATGTGAAGACTTGAGGGCAAATTTATGCCTTTATATCTGCAGTGCAGGCTCTTGTATGAGGAATGCACAAAAAGTGCACCTATTAACTGAAGTTCGCCAAACAGGTAAGAGAAGCAAAATCCTGCAGCTGCTGAGGCCAGAATCGGATCTTCTAAGTATGACTCAGGCTGATTCCATGCTGCTAAAGACTCAACTAGGCTTCCAATCTCATGTGACCCATGTTGCTTTTCAGTTTCCTATACTGTGAGCGAGATGATCTACCAGTGGGACAATTTCAAGCTGGAAATCAATGAGAAGAACTCCTGGAAGCTTTTCCAGTTTGATTTTACTGGACTGAGCAACAAAACTGAAATCATCTCAACTCCGGCTGGTAAGCACCATGGAATTCAGGGCTAGGAAAAGGCCAAGGAGGGTGGCAAGGGCACCGATATGAATGGCAAACAATGATCTCATGGGAATACTGAGTAGGATGTGGCTTCGGCCTTGTCGATGCTAAGCCCTTACAACTGTTTGCAGAGGAAACTGAGACTTCGTAACTATGTCCCAGTCTCATCTGCAAAGAAGTAAGTGCTTTGCCAACTCCTCAGAGAGGCTAGGTAAGTAGCGAAAGTTTTAGGGCTGTCAGAATGTGCGACTAGCTTTCTCATGCAGTCTTCAGGTTCAAGGTCTTTGTTATGACTCTGACCTACTTGGATGACTTTTGGGGAATGGCAGTCATGTGAGTTCTCCATACCCAGAACCAATCCAAGATGGTTGAGTGGGAAGCAAGGTCCCTCCTAATGGGAGGTGAAGGCTAGAGTCCTAATGGCATCGGGTGAGGGATGCAGAACTCTGGAGGAAGGAAGAGGAGCTACAGTGGCTGCTGGACATTTATCTTGAACAACTCTGAAAAGTACAAATTGCTTTCAACTGCTTCACAGTGGATTAAAAGTGGGCCTGCTGAGTATTAGTTTTCTGATCTTGTCTCGAAGAAAGACAATGGTGAGAGGGGATTCGGGATCTCTTTCTGTTCTCAATCAGGTGTGAGCATCTTTGCTTGTGTTCCTAGGTGACCTGAACAAGGAGCCAAGGAACCTCCTCAGGGTAGCTCTCAGATCAGCCCTGGAAAACTTCTTCACATGCACTGAGCAAGTTCAGGGCAGTAGAGACACTACCCTCGTCGTTTCCAGAATGTGGATGGAACGAGACTCCCAAGCAAGCCATGTGTCATGGGAAGCATCTTGCTTTGCTTTGATGTGGCTCAACAGCAAATCTGCTTTTGCTTTGCTTGTTGAGTTGGTCTTGGACCAACGGACACATTCTTGCTCATCTGGCTAGAGCTATGCTTGCACAGTAAGAGGCAAGGGCTAAGTGCTGCTTTACAAATGCTTTCCTTCTTCCTTCGAGGAGGCAATTTCTCTACCTTTTACTTGGGATCCTTGCTCTTCTGCCAACTAATCACGGGCTTGCCTCTTTGCTTTCTATACTTCAGTTTTTCCAGATAGGTAGAGACACATCATCCAAAGTGGCAGAGGAGACAAGGCCCAGGGGCTCTCAAGTCACTAGTGGTTCCGTTTAGTAGATTATTGTACTCTGGTTCAAAATGGTACCCTAGTGACTACAAAGCCTCTGAGCCAGCATCATCACCTAAAAAGTGACAATAGGTAAGCAAACATAAGCTTTCCTTGGGAGAAAGGAAATCTTTCTCTTGTGCTAGAAACTAGTTGCTCTTGAGTCATAGTTTATCGAGTGTCTGGGTTATCATTAGGACTAGTTTGATACTCCTCCAATTGGCCCCATCTAGCAGAAGCAGAGGTGTCTGTTCATCTCCTCAGGGTTCAGAATGTAGAGGTAGCCTGCTGCTCTAGGCCCCATTGTCCTTGAACCAGAGAATCTGCTTCAGGAGCTCCTCAGAAGGTTCAACCTTATCCCCAGCGACTGAATTACCCTTTACCGCTGGCTATTGAGCCTCTTGCAATGCATCCTGCAATGATCCGGAGTTCACTATCTTACAAGGAAGAGTCTTCTCTTTCTAGATAGTCCTGCCCATCAATTAAATTCCCTGTTCATCTGAAGTTGGAGTTTCTGGAACTTCTACCCATTGGACCTGGTTCTTTTTCTCTGGAATGATCCAACTTATATTGTCTCATCTCTATCCCAAGAAAACACATTTAAAGAACTAATGTTATCATCCAAGCTGCAGTTCATCTTCCATTTTTAGAGTTCAGAGCCCTAGTTCCTCTTGCTTCCTTGTTCTTCTATGTTTAGGATACAATGGCCCTTCTAGCTGCAGTCCTCTGAACACAGACTTTAGGTGCTGTGTTCTGCCTCCTGACAGTGCAGTGATATCCATGGTCTGGGCAAAACAGGTAAGAGTATAAGCACAACACACACACACACACACACACAATATCTTTCTTCCCTTATCCATATTTGGACATTTCTCTACAAGAAGAGACTGCGATGATTTTTACTCCATTTGCCTTCAAAGACAAATTTCCATGTCTTGACATGTGGGGAAATTTCTTCTTTAGCTTAAATCAATTAAATAGAGAAATTAAGTCTAATAGTAAATCTTCTTATGACTCAGAAGTGGGTGGGGCTGGTTATAGCTAATCAGAGGAATCTGGTCAATACATTCTGGCCTGTAGGCAAGTGTGAGAATGGCCTTTGCTTCACCAATGGAGGAGGTCCAACCCCAAAGCTTCCACTCTTGTAACAAGCTTCCCAATGATCTCAAGTTTCTTCTTTGCCTTTTTCTAGAAGACTCTGACAGGTTTTCCTCCTTGAGTGTCATTGATTCTAAGGTGAGTAGGAAAAGCTGCTTGCATTTGGGTTCAGCTCACCAAGTTTCTGCTGGGTAGATGATTTCCCTGCCATGGGCAAGTTAGTGTTCTGGTCTGCATTCCAAAGCTCTTGCCCAGTAACAGGAAGAATTATCGAACATCATTGCTTTCCAGGAAGACCTCATCTTGAACAGCTAGGGACTAAGCTATGTAGATCCTATAGGATCCCTGCTTTGAAGGGACTTCAAAGCCTACATAATTGAGGGCCAAGGAATTCTGTAGCATCACTGAGGCAGGAGTTTGGAGTTTAGCTTCACAAAAGAACCAAGATTAGAGTTATTTAAAATGTAATGTCATGTTGACAGTAAAAAAAAATTAATGCTTTGGGATCAGATAAAAGCCAAAAGAAGACACAGAGGAGTTATGGCATCATGCAGAGTTTGAGGCTGATGTGGCAAAGTGTAAAATACCACTGGAGATACAGGATGTCATCAGGTCCTATAGGAGCCATTGCTATGCAGCATGAGAACAAGAAGAGGGATGCAATGCCCCCATGAATGTGAAGACCTCAGTCTTCCTTGTGGATGTATATTCTGAAGACTTGACATCTAGAGGGCTGACTGAAATTTTCATTTTCAGCTAATTCTACTTCCCTGAAAAACTCCATTTTGGTTAGGCATAATTAATTAAGAACAGGATGTTTCGTATTTGCATATGGGTATAAATAATGCAGGCAATCTCAGGCAATCAGTGAAAATAGGATTGGCTTTGGGAAAAGTGGTGTGTGTGTGTGTGTGTGTGTGTGTGTGTGTGTGTTGGATCTAGGTCACTTTGGCCACAGGTAGAACAGGGATATATGGAGAGAAGGAGAAGGCAGTATATACTTCCTGCACCACAGCTTCTACCACTCAGCTCATTTCCCGAGAGAAGCTGGAGAGAGGGTCAGAAGTGCAGGTGTGATGGTGTGCTACTGCACACCATGTGACAGTTCAGTCCTTTATCTGGACATCAGCTGTGTGGTCATTGCATGCAGAGGGGTGACTGTTGTTTGTTCACTTTTGTCTCACTCTCCTGTTACCCAGAAAAGAGACATTTGGAGAGTGGAACAGTGAAGTGGAGAAAGAAGTGATTAAATTTCTGGACTTGTCTCAGCTCTCAGTTGGCATGGGGCTTATCGTAGGTCTCCCATCAGAGTTGCTTCAGGGCCTGTGTGTAGCTGAAATGTGCTTCTAGCCTAGGTCTGAGACTAGGAATCCCATGAAGTGCACAATGTATGTATCATGCTGTGCATCGTGGCAGTGTAGTAGTGAAGTGGCTTTGTTTATGTCTTGCAGGTGAATTTATGGTCATGACCTTTTTCTTCAATGTGAGTCGGCGGTTTGGCTATGTTGCTTTTCAAAACTATGTCCCTTCTTCTGTGACTACGATGCTGTCCTGGGTTTCCTTTTGGATCAAGAAAGAGTCTGCGCCAGCGAGGGCCTCTCTTGGTAAGAGGGCCATGAGGGTATAAACACACAGGCTGATAGCTATGAGCTAGGTTGACCCAGGCAGAGAGCACCCTTCTCATGGTGTCCTTTAAACAGGCACTGCGCAGGTGCAAAGCTTATCCGGGCCTCACTACTTGCTTTTGCAGGGATCACCTCTGTACTCACCATGACTACACTGGGCACCTTTTCTCGTAAGCATTTCCCGCGTGTTTCCTATATCACAGCCTTGGATTTCTACATTGCGATTTGCTTCGTCTTCTGCTTCTGCGCTCTGCTGGAGTTTGCCGTGCTCAACTTCCTCACCTATAACCGGACCAAAGCCCATGCGTCTCCAAAACTCCGCCATGTATGAGCTGGGTATGGGGGTGGTAGCAAAGCTCTGTAGCAAGACTTATGGCCTGTGGATGGCCAATTCCCCAAGTGACAGGGGGTTCCCTAGGGTGGGGATGGAGGTACAGATCTTCCCCTGGGATAGGGTGGGAAGCGCGAGAGGCAGGCAAAGCAACAGTGTGCCAAGGAAGTTTCCAGACCATTTTAGGGCAACCATAAACTTACATGACTCCCCTTAACTCTTCTGCATTTCTTCCCTTTCCCATTTTAGCCTCCGATCGGTGGCCGCGCCCATGCCCGTACCCGTGCTCGTGCCCGTGCTCGCGCCCCGCGCCCGTGCCCGCCAGCAGCAGGAAGTGTTTGTGTGTGAGATTATCACCTCTGAGGGAAGCGATGGAGAGGAAGTCCTGTCTTGCTCGGTCCAGCGCGCCCCCAGCCCAGGTAGCCCCCAGGGGTCCCGCAGCCCGCATTCCCGGGTCGCTTGCTATGAGTGCTGCAAGGGTTTCAAAAAGTATTTCTGCATGATGCCTGATTGCGAGGGCAGCACCTGGCAGCGAGGTCGCCTGTGCATCCACGTCTACCGCCTGGATAATTACTCGCGAGTTGTTTTCCCGGTCACTTTCTTCTTCTTCAATGTGGTCTACTGGCTTGTTTGCCTTAATCTCTAGGTGCCACAAGGTACCCTGTGGGGGCAGCCTCTCCATTTCCCCGGGAGGTCCCAAGCCCCTTGCTAAGGGAGGTGGGGGATAGCAGCAGCAGCAGGAGCAGCAGGCGTGCTTAGAAAGTAGCTTTCCTCCCTTCCTACCCAAATGCCAGCCTAAGGAGAGTTTGGCTTTACTGCCCTGCTCTCCACTGGCCCCTTCCTTCATTCCGCCTCCTCTGAAACCTCTTTCAGGTAAGGTAGTCCCATCTCTATTCTTTTAAGGAGCCTTCATGATGCTCCATCTCAAAAATCGCAGCCTCTCAGTGGTCAGTTCCCCCACAGGTTCCCATGGATGAGCAGATTGGTAGACAGCTCCTGCCTTATCCTCAGAAACCCATTATTGCCTTTGTGGTGCTAATGGGCCCAGCTTGGCCTCATCCTGAAAGCTTAGGGGGCAGCAGTACAACAGGAGGCGGTGTCCATCCTTAAGTCAGTTGAGTACATTCTTGGTTCTATTTCCCTGCCCTCCATTTCCCTGCAGATAGATAGCTCGTTAGGAGGAGGGGAGCCAGCAAGTGGACCTATTGAGGATGGTATTTTGGCTGCTGTGACACCTCACTCTTCCCCTCCCTGCCTCCATCTGCACTGCCAATTCAATGCCCTGCATCCAGTGGGTATCTATTCTTGTGTGTGGTGATAGTAACAAAACCCTGCTTGATATGCCACCTTTTCCTTCCTAGTTGGCCCTTGTGAAGTTTTCTGTAACTCCCCAGTGACTTTCCCAGCCCTGATCCAGGTGCTAGGCCTTGGTGACTTCCTGGGGCCAAGAAACTAAGGAAACTCAGTCTTGTAGCCAACATGGTTGGCCATTGATCAGTGCTCATCTGAGGCACAGCTTAGGAGTCTGGCTGCTTCCTTGGCCACTGGACCGATGAGCCACTCCCCTGTTATCCCTGGGGCGCACCGCACGCGCGTGCGCACACACACACACACACACACACACACACACACACACACACACACACACCACAATCAATTGAATTCCCTTACATTTGTAGAGCACTTTACCTTTGACAAAGCACTTTTGACCAATTGTTTCTATTTGGAGCCTCATTGTGGCCTGGTGACATCTTCTGGACAGGATTCTTATCCCCATTGTGCAGATGGGAACCCTGAGGCACAGATTTCTAAGGGACTGTGGATCTCACTGGAAGCCACTCAGGAGCCCACTGTCACTTCCTAGACCACAGGGCAGGGCTACATAGCTCTGTTCACTATGATTCAATTCTATCTCTCCTGCTGACACCACAGTGGCCAGGCCCAGAATGGCAGGCTCTCAGCGTTGGCCTGCTCGTTTAACTGGGCCTGAAGGTGCTCAGACTGTCCCTCCAGGTTGAAACTCTCTTGGCTCTAGTCACCCAGTGAGATGAACTTTGAATCTGGACATGCCCCAACGCTTGTATATGCTGAACGAAATCTGTGTCTGTATTTTATGGGGGGTGGGTAGGGTGGGGTTACCATCTGCTTTTATCATCATCATCTGGAAAGGGGAAATATATGAATAAATATATCAGCAAAGCATTCAAGGTGTGGCTGGTTTCTTTAATGCCCAATATTATTTGCAGCTTAGATGTTAAACCATAAAATCTATAACTCAAACATTTGTTTTCCTCTCTTATCTGTAATTCTCAGACCTACCAGACATTTACCAAATACTCTTTTCTCGTTACTAAGGAACAAAAGGAAGAGAAAATCAAGGAACCTTGTCCCCTTCATATATTTCCTGACTACTTGTCCCTATGCTTCTCTTCTCTCCATGTTCCTTTTGCTTTGCTCATCACTCTTTTTACCTTACCAGGACTAGAAAGTTTGTAGGTGCCACAAGGCTCAGACTACCCTCTTCCCACGTAAAGGTGGTGATATTGTGCCACAATCAGTTAACAGTGGAATAGGGTGAGATCCCAGAAATGTTTACACATTTAATTTAACTTGCAGCAAGCCTGGATACCTTGCTTTTTCACTTTACAAGAGTCTCTAAAGGTACATTGGGAATTGTTGGGCCTCCCATCTTGTGACAATTGCAACATTAAAGAAACTCAATGATAAGAACCAAGGATGAGATCAAAGTCACTGACATTTTTACCATTAAGTCCTTAGAATGACAGTCAACCCTTTTACCTAGAAGAAACCTTCATTTTAGGGCTGGGGTTGTAGACTCAAGTGGTAAGAGTGCCAGCATAGCAAGCACGAGGCCCTAAGCTAAAATCCCAGTACTGCAAATAAGAAAAGAAAGGGAAGAAAAAGAAGAAAAGGGAAAAAATCCACACAGCCCATATGTTTTACTGTGCAATTTTTGATGTCCTAACACATAGCAAATTGCAAGTCATTCAGAATTCTGGAAGAAGTGAAATATTTCCTCACTTTCACTTATCTTAAAAAGATACAGTGGAATGACAGCAGGCTGGCTTTACCCAAACTAGCAATGTGAATTTGTAAGCACTCATATTTGTGTTTTGAAACATAGAAATAGTGCAAGACAGATTTCATAATTGCAGTACAATAACATTTCAACTGCATAAAATTCTTACCATTTGTAAGTCTTTAAAAGCTCACTTAATCAGTTCTTTAAAAATGAGGAAATTGAAGGCATAATTGGAACTATAATGAAAAAATAAAATTAATGAAAAAAGCACTACACAGTAAAACCCATGAGATGCAGCCAACACTGCACTTACAGAAAAAAAAATCATAATTTAAGCATTTCAGTTCCTAAATACAGTGGGAAAGAAATTAGTTTGGCACTGGAAATGAGAAGCTGAAAAGCTTAAAAATGTATTACAACTTAGAGAAGTTTGAGGAAAAGGAGGAATTTGTAATATAAGCAACATAGAGAGGAACAGTTAAGCATTTGAAAAACAGTCAATAAAATGGTGTAGGTATCTCCCTTTTCATATCCAGATTACTAGATTAAGGTATATGCAGGGCAGAAGTCCAATGGTGTAACTCGTATCAACAACTTACTTCCAGGTTAATCAAATGAATACCATGAAGCTGAAACATGTGCTGTTTGGAGGTCAAGGGAAGGGGACAGACGAATGCAGAGAGGAAGTGTGGGTGAATGCGGTCATAACATTCAGTGTGCATACATGAAAATGGAACCAAGAAATGGATTGGGTTGGGATAAATGGGGGGAGAATGATGAAAAGGATGGATCAACAGGCATTGTACTCATAAACTGATATATGAATTAAAACCCTTTTGTACAAATACTTAAAGATAATAAAAAAAATTACAGGGAAATCTTAAAGGCACTGTAGGACAATATGGGTGAATATGCTTGTATTCTTGGGATGGGAAAGGCCCTCCTAAACATGACATAAAACACCAGAAATTATGAAGGAAACGATGGAAGAATGGGTCTAGATCAAGAAATAATAAGGAAACAAAATAGTATAGCAAAACATACTGGCAGGGATCAATTCATGAGAAAGTCTCTAAGATCAAAATTAGAGTTCAGGAACTTGGTAGGATCTATATTCTTTGCAGAAAGCAAAGTCAGTTAGAGGAGAAAACAGGACACAATGAAGTCACAAGAGCTGCTGAACGATGGTCAGCTCTGGCATCACTGGGATGGTCTTTCTAAATTATTACAAATAAAGTCAAGGGGGTGAGCCCTTCTGTCTCCTGACTAGATGTGAACATGAATTTGGAAAGGGTATGAATCAAGCTATATCTGAGAAGGCTTCCATTGAGGGCTCTCAGCCTCCAACAATGTCAGGGGCTCAAGACTCAAGCTGTGCTGAAGAACATTAGTAGGCATATGTCTCAGTGCAGATGGGGCATCCATCCCTTATTTTGCTGAGGCTCATGTGTTTCATATAAATAAATTCTAGAACCTGGGTATGTTATGCTTCTTTTTCTGAGGAAAAAACTAGGGAAACACACCACATGCCTGCTAATAGAAAACTGGTCTTGAAACCCTAGTCACCATTTCCATCGACTTACTCATTCTAGATATCCTCTCAGGTTCAGCTAGTACCTCTGCTTATCTAGGCAATTTGCTTGGTAAACTGACAGCATCTTTCATTCTAGAAGAGTATGAGATTCTGCATACCATGCCCTTTTTGGACCATAGTAGATGATTTGTCATTTCTGAAGGATAATATTTAAGCAGGTCACCTAGATGCCAAACATATGCCCCAGTGTATAGCAGTGGCCTCATCTCTTGATAAATAAGGTCCGTTACCTCTTTCAGGATAGTGACTTGATTTGTTTTAACTGGCATTAAACATGATCAAGATTAAAATTTGATGAAACTCTGGCCTTGTTCTCTGGTGAAGGTACTTATGATCTGGGTGTAAAACCTAAACCTGCACACTCACAACTTATGAGAAGCTTGAATTTCATAAGTGGGTCAGCAGGAGTGATCAGAAGCAAAGCAATTCCTATTCCAGACCAGTAGAGTCTACTTATATGGCCGTTGATTTAGGGTGGTAGCATCTCTAACTGTTGCCACCCTCAACACACACCATTGCATCTGGCTAGCAGATTCTGGGAAGGATGCTGTAGTAACTGAAATCCTAGGCCTAATGTTTCATTCCTCTGTCTAGAAAGTAGATCTCTGAATCCAACTCCAAGTACATAAAATCATGTCTGGTGGATTGAAGCATCCTCTTACCTAGAAATGTTGGATGAGGCCCAGCTTTCGTAAAGGCTCCAGACGAAGAAAGAAACCCATATCTAGAATTTCCATTTCTTTACTCAAGATGAATCATTACCCCCATGTAGCTTTGAAGGGGCTCAAGGTGATCAATAGGCATCCAAGTGGCTTATTGGTTTACTTCAAAAATTATAATAAGGAGTCACTACTTGTCTCTTTTAAAGATAAAGACAATAGCTAAATAAGTGTTAGCAAGTAGGTAACTATTCTGTGGGTACTCATATAAAACCTCTAATTCTGTCCTTAGAATAGGGTCACCAGAATGTGAAAATAAAAATACTGTGTAAGAATACCAGTTAATTTTAATTTTGGTGATACTAGACTTTCAGCTCAAAGCCTTGCACTTTCCAATCAGTCCTTCTACCACTTGAGCCATATCAGTCTTTCATAGTTAGAGCTAGCATTTAGTTTATACTTAATAGCTCTTTAGAGACCTGTCTTCATCCTTCTAAGCCAATAATTAAAGTGAAATCCAGGTGAAATAACTAGGCAAAGCTTAAGTTTGGTTAAGGAGAAAAATATGGCACCCTGGATGAGCTACAAAAGTAGGTCACGAAGGAGAAGTCAGAGATCAGGAAAGTGTTACTTGGGACTGGGATTTGAGGCTCTTTATTAAGAGGGCTGGAACATGAAATAACTAGATATCTACTGAACTGGCACTGGTTCCTCAAGACATGGCATTTAACTCTGACAAGAAACCCAAAGGTTGAGAAAAATCTCAGCTGGGGTGGTGCTCTAACGCTTAGAAACTCTGGTGACCAAAGCCAGTCATCGGGGGGCTCATGCCTGTAATCCTAGCTATTCAGGAGGCTGAAATTTGAGGATGACAGCTCAAAGCCAGCCCGGGCAGGAAAGTCCGTGAGACTTTTATCTCCAATAAACCACTAGAAAACTAGAAGAGGCGCTGTGGCTCAAGTGGTAGAGTGCTAGCCTTGAGCTGAAGAGTGCAGGGACAGCACCCAGGCCCAGAGTTCAAGCCCCACGAATGACAAAAATAAAAAATAAAAAAAAAAACTGTGGTGACCAGAACCAAAGGACATGTGAAGGCCTAGCTGCTTAACCAACACTAAATGAAGGGATTCAAATCAGCATGCTACAAAGGATAGATTTAGGTGCATCTATTAAGTACAAAAGACCATAAAAATTATGTCTCAGAAGACCCAGAATACATGCAATTCTCCCAAGATCATGACAAATACACTAAAGCTAAGTAGTGTTTCTCTGCAAATCAATGTGGACTGTAACAGGTATTAACTTGAATAATTTGCTTGAGATCCCAGAAATGGCTTTTTATTGAGATGTCCTTTAATTTTCCTTATAATCCATACTAGATTTATTTTGGTCACACAGGTAGAACAACATCCTTGGTATCTGCCACTGAGAAATCTTCATTGTAGTAGATGGCTCAATTGCCCTCTTGAAGGTAGATCTCTGGTTGTTATGAATCTGGTGCTTGCTCTTAGTTATAGACCCATCTTGCTTATGGTGGTTTCTGATCTCTATTATTGTGAGATCTTATTATTGTTAATGGAGAACCAATTCTGTAGCAGTATACTTCACTGGCTACCTTGACCTCAATAGTCATAACTGATTTTTTGATGTTTCTTGTTTTCCCCTCATGAATTTGTGTCTTAACATAAACCGAATGCTATCATCTCCCTAACCCATAGCTATTTGGGGGTGGGGGGTGGGGGGCGGGAGGAGAGGCTCTAGCCTAATGGAAGGTAACTACATTACCTTGTCCATTTCTTGAAAGTGTTTTGGTCCTTTCTTCCATTGTCTTATCTTGATAGTTCTTATACTTCAATTAGCAAGGACTATTACTTTCTTCATGGTTTTGAAACCCATGCTGAGATGATATGTTAACACTTTATCAGGGGTTATGTCAAGCTCTTAAATCTGTACAGGGTGGGAGTACTTCCATGCCAACAAATCTCCCTTCTTCAATGTGATGGTGTCTCCAGTGATGACCATTGTTAGAACCCAGTCCTCTGTATATCTTCACAGCACCTGGTAGTATATGCTGACTAGACCGTATAGGAATATGGTATCACTGTGAGCAGATCCAGCCTTTCCTGAATCTATTATGATCTCTTAACCCATTATTGCTTTGGGAAAGCCATTAAAAACAATCTTGAGGGAGTTCTAGCTTTTCATGCAAAGCAGAGAGCTATTTCTTTTAAAACAGGGAGAAATTTCCTCCTTTAGAGAACCTAGAAGATTCAGAGAAAGTTGAGGAATTAAGATACTTGAGTATGTAATTTGAGGTGCCTCTTCTTGTCCCAGAATCCCAATCAGGGACCTGACCTTCATATAATCAACTTCCCAAGATTTAGAGTTTAACCTCCTTTTGTCATAATTATGTGCTGAATCTCAAAGTAGGCTCTTCCTGTCTGCTTCTGACTGAAAAAGAGTTCCTGTATGTCAGTAGGGAGATCCTCAACTTATTACATTTACCCTCTAATGAGTGACTAGCCCACAACTTCACTTGTCCTTCTCTAGTGTTTCTATTGTACCAAGCATCAGTAACCCATTCTATTGTTCTTATATTTATTATTTCCCCTACATTCTACACGCATGTGATATATATATATATATACACTTTATATATACTATATATACTATACCCTACATGTATGTGTGTGTATATATAGAAATATATATAGAAATATTATATATATTTATAAAGTGTGTGTGTGTGTGTGTGTGTGTGTGTGTGTGTGTGTGTGTGTATACCAGTCCTCAGGCTTAAACTCAGGGCCTGGGCACTGTCTCTGAGCTTCTTTTGTCAAGGCTAGCACTCTATCACTTTGACCCAAATCTCCAAATCTCCATTTCTAGTTTTCTGATGGTTCATTGGAGATAAGAGTCTCATGGACCTTCCTGGTCAGGCTGGCTTCAAATCACAATCCTTACATCTCAGCCGCCTGAGTGGCTAGGATTACAGGCACAAGCTACCAGTGAGCCTCCATTTCTCACACATTCGATAGTTTATACACAGACACTGGGCTACTTGAGGGAAGGGAGGGGGCATGCTTTGTAAGTGTTTTGGTCCTTTCTTCCACTGTCTATCTTGATAGTTCTTATACTTCAATTAGCAAGGACTATTACTTTCTTCATTGTTTTGAAACCCATGCTGAGATGATATGTTAACATTTTATAAACTTTTGATAAACTTGGGAGAACAGGGCAAACTCCCTACACAAACCTTGGGTGGAATGAGTAATTATTCCCTAGCAGCCTCTATTCACTGGAAGCAGCCCCTCCCTCACTGAGAGAGTTTCCAGGCTCAGAATTGAGAATCCTGGCTGCCCCACCCACAGATGTGGCCCTGCAGCATTAGCTGAGAGGAGCTAGGAGTTCCTACACACAGGAAAAGTTGCAGAGCTGGAGGCTTGGCTGTGCACCTCCAGGAGGAAACCTCTTGGCACAAGTTACTGCCTACCAGCCCACCAGAATTATGGCCGAGCTAACTAACACCACTTACTTGGGCCCATGCTCTTAAAGTAGCTCCACCATTCTGGGATCTCACTCTCTAGTTTATTGCACTCTTAAGAAATTATGTCCAAGAACATAGTGCTGGAGCCACATGCCTGAAATCCTAGCTACTCAGGAGGTTGATATTTTGGGATTGTGATTTGAAGCTGCCAGTCCTGGCCTTAAACTTAGGGCCTGGGCACTGCCCTTGAGCTCATTTGCTCAAGGCTAGCACTCTAGCACTTGAGACACACCTTCATTTCTGGATTATTGGTGACTGATTAGAGATAAAAAGTCTCACAGATGTTCTGCTTAGGCTTACTTCAAACCTGTGATTCTCAGATCTCAGCCTCTTGAGTAGCTAGGATTATAGGAATGCACCACCATTGTCTAGCTTAAAACGTCATTTTAATAATTGGTTCTGGCCATCTCAGCCTGACAGAAGAGCACATGACCAGGGCTTCCTAGGCATCCTTCCACAGAAATGCACCCTTCTTTCTCAGGAAATCCATGCAAATGAAACAGATACTTCATCTAGCTGTATTGTGCTGCTTTCAGCCACACTGTGTACATCTGCACTAGGAAGAATTTTCTTTATGCCTATTCAGCATCCAAAAGGAACTGTGTAGAGCTATTTCCCATTTTCTCAGGCCTAAGTCATACCATCTGAGGATCTGGCCCCAGCTATCACTCAACTTCATAATCATCAGCTCCTAAAGAAGGAACTGCAGTTTTCTGAAGCCTTGAAATGCTTTAGGCTCAGAGCATTAAACTGGGTTTTGCTGTCCTAGAACATCAACTGGTCACCACTCCTCCATGTGTTACCTTAGAAAACATCTCAATCTCTCCCTGATATAACTACTGCTCCTAGACCCCAGGGTACTATGGGTAAATATGGGCCCAACTGACCCTAGTTTAGAGAGCAAGCATTCAGTGGAGGTTTGAAGAATAGACTGAGTTGGAGGACCTCTGAGAAAAAAATGTCACTTATATTATCAAATACCAGTCAAGCCAATCCAAGCCAACATCTTTTTAATGTTACGGGGAAGACAAAAGAATTTTCCATTTCTTTAGACCATCTATTTTACTACTGACTCATTTCCCATTTCCAAGGAAATAGTCGACTGCCATGTTAACTTATTCCAAGTGACAAAATAACACAGTCTTCCCACTGATTGAATAATTAGCAAGAGACACACCTGAATTATATTTACAGCAATACATGTATGGCTACCATTGTTCTTAACTTTGCATTTTAAAGCAAATAAACTGTCAATTATAAGGAACAGCTGAAAAATTACAGAGGAAACAAAGGTGAATTTCATAGTCACTTAACTAGAACAGGAAAACAAAAACTGGGGCTCATTTCCAATGGGGCCAGAGAAGCTGCTGTGGCCATGACTACAACTCATGCTTGGCGATGCCGTTCCTCTCTCAATGCCTCGTCATACAAGATAGGGAAGGCCCTGGGATCAAGCCCACTGAACTTGGCCCAGTGCACAAGGATTTTCATCTTGGTGGTTTCAGCGCGAGCCCTGGGGCCCCACAGGAACTCATAGACAACGGGATTAGCATGGGGCACCTGCCGGTATTCCAGGTACTGCAATCGCACAAAATCTCCCATGACTAACCTCCTAATATTCCCATAGATGTAGTGCCATCTCTCTACACAAATCCCCATCTTACACAGTGCTCCCCAAATCACCTCTTCAGTGGCACGATTGCCACTTCTAAAGATGAAGCACAGAACCATTATGAGAAGGCCTGTCTTGGGCACTCCTGGAACATCACTCCGCAACCCATGATATGTGAGCCCCGCAGCAGGGACAAGGATATAGGAGCGGTGGATGGTATTTAGTTTTTTCATTTCAGTGCCAAACACTAGCTTCATGCACTCACGGGTTTTGTTGAAAATTGCAGGGAAGAAATTACGGTGACAACTGACCACATGAGTGAGAATTTCTGCCCTATTGACTGGCTGCCTCATCTGATATCTGAGGAGCAGGAAGGGTACCAAGGAAATTGAGTAACGCAGCAGGGACAAAGGACCTAACATGTTGCGCTGGAATAACAGATTTTCGGATCCTTGGCTTCTGGAGCCCTGCTCAAATTCCATCTCTACCTCTACACTAGAGACCAAGGCAGTAGGGGGAGAGGAAGCTCTTGGTGGACTCTGGGGATCACATGGTATCCCAAAAGCAGTCCCCTCGTCTGGGGTGGCCAGCATCAGAGTCGAAGAAGAGGAGGAAGAGGCACAGGCAGTGGCCTCCTCCTCCTCCTCCTTGGGGTCTAGCCCATTCACCAGGCCGGGCCCTGGAGCCTTTCTTTTGGCCTTAGGGCTTCCCTCATTGTCTTGCTGGTTCTTCTTACTATGAGGCATGATGGCTTTCCCTGGAGACTGCAGGCAGGACTTTGGACAGGTACTCAGTGATGGGAACTCACAGGCCTAGGGGAGAGAAGAAGCATGTGAGTGGACTCAATTGAGAACCACATCCTTGGCAGCTCTTGAAAAGGCCTATTACAAAAAAAAAAAAAAAACAGCTTGTTGCTGTGCACCAGTGGCTTATGCCTGTAATACTAGCTACTCAGGAGGCTGAGAGCTGAGGATGACAGTTCAAAGCCAGCCTGTGCAGGAAAGTCTGTAAGACTCTCATCTCAAATTAAAAACAAAAAAGGCCCCAAACTGGAAGTGGAACTGTGGTTCAAGTGGTAGAGTGCCAGCCTTGAGCAAAAAAGTTCAGGAACAGTGCCCAGGCCCTGAGTTCAAGTCCCAGGAATGGCACACCCACCTACATACACACACAAACTTATTAATGTTTTTTTTCTTTAGATAGTGTTCTATTTCCACCTGGTCTCCTATCTTTCTGAGAGCTTGAGAGAATTGAAATTGCTTCTCAGGGTATAGATAGCTGATAGAGCTTGGGGCTCTGCATAAACTAATAGGGCATGTGGGGTTGAACACTATGGGATTTTGTGTGTTCTCGCATACGGGGGACACTTAGTAAACACTCAGGGTATATACCTCACCTAGACACCTGACCCTTCTTGGGCACCTCCTCCTTTGTGACCTGAGGATGCCTTAGACCTTTTTCTTAATTCCTGGTTCCTGAAGCTTGTGGGAAAGGCACTGAGAGCTCTCTCTCTCTCTGTGTCCCTTCCTGAGGCAAGGCCTCAGGAGAGGGGGCTGTACATGGTGAAGTTTCACTGTTTGGGGGATAGAAGGCCTCCTCTGTGTTCACCCTGGACGCCAATTGTCACCTTAAAGGTTCTAGGACCCTCTCCTCTGATGGCTTGAGGCAATCTTTCAAAACAAAGATAAAACAAAAGGCAGTGAGGGGACCTTATATCTTGCTACACCTCCCAGGAGAGACTACAAGCAGTGGACAGATTCATCGGAAGCCATGTAGATGTGAGACCTGTTCAGTCGTCATCTTGGTAGATGGCAAGGTATGGAACTCTATCCTGAGGATCTTAGTCCACTATTTAAGACATAGCCTTTGTCACACACTGGAAAAAGGAAGTGCAGGGAGGCCAATCCATTAAGAGTCATTACATTTTTCTAGAGCTAACAAAAGGGGAAGGTTGGGGGCTGGAGTCCCATGTGCTTTTGCGAGGGTGATCCTCTCTCTCCTCACCTTGACTCCTGGCAGATCCTGGACACCTCCCTCTGCTGACCAGATATGGTCCTTTCCACTTTCCTGATGCTTCCTCTTATTTCAAGGCCTCAAGGTCCTGAGACCTGGGAGACAGAAGTGTGGATATAGCTCATTTGAACACCTCTGCAGGGGTTTCCCTAGGCTGAAGGAAGGAGCAAGTTTCTGGGGTCTTCTTTTGTCTGGAATATCCTAAATATATTCCTATTTATTCCATACAAGGCCTGGTCCTTTTCCTGTGTTGACTTATACGTGTACCTTGCAGGCACAAGGCCACCATGTCTCCTTAAGCCCCACCTCAACACTGAGCAGGAAGCTTGAGAAATCATGTCTTCCTCAAGTTCCTATTTTAAAGCCACCTTGGGGTGCCAGGAAGGGCAATTGTCCCATGTGTTGGATCTGGTGTCTTCTTGGTCCTCATTGTCCCCCCTTCCCCCGACACCGCACCCCGCCCTGGTCTCTTCTGAATGGAAGTCACATTCCTCAGACTAAGGCATACTTCTCCCTGGTATCCCAGACTCGGAAATGAAGGTGCTCTGAATCTGTTCACTATGCTCAGGGACTCCCTAGGTTTGTGGGAAGGTAGAGGTCTCATCTGGGTGGCAAGACCTTTCATTCCTCTCTCTGAATTCTCCCCCTTGATTCTAGACAGGAACTTCTCCCTCTGAAGACCCGAGTCTTCCTGTTAGGTTGCAGGGACAGATCACATGAAAGAAATGACTCAGTTTGACAATGGAGGCAGGGATGTACCCCATGTGTCCTGGGGACCTGGACCACTCTGGCCGTCCTCATGTGTCACCTGATTTCTACTGTGTCCCTTATTGTGCTCATCTGAGGCTTTGCTCCTTCCACCTAACCACTACCTTCTCTCAGACTCAGACATGGAAGTCAGGCATTACCAGGCTGGTCATTCCACCTAGGGGCCTCCCCAGACTATGAGCAGGGGCTAGCTTCAGTGGGGGGTCCCTTTGTCATGAAGTCTGAGATTCTCTTCCTTAAAATATATGCCCTGTGCCCATGAATGTAGGTCTTCACTTCTTTCCTGATTCCCAGACCTAGAGTTAGGGGTTGGCACATCTGTCCCAGGTACCTGAACCACCTAGGACTAAAAGCTGAGATACAATGGGTCTGTCTTCCCCCTGATTCCTAGCATAGTCAGATTGGTCCTATGGTAATGTCATCTGCACCTCTTAGTCCATGGCTTTTTTTTTTTTTTTTTTTTGGGTCCGGTCATGGGGCCTGAACTCTGGGCCTGGGCGCTGTCCCTCAGCTCTTCAGCTCAAGGCTAGTGCTCTACCACTTGAGCCACAGCGCCACTTCCGTTTTTTTTCTTTTTGCTTATGTGGTGCTGAGGAATCGAACCCAGGGCCTCATGCATGCAAGGCAAGTGCTCTGCCACTGAGCCATCTTCCCAGCCCCTAGTCCATGGCTTTGATTCCCATAACGAAGGGTAAGAAAGTGAGAGGCACTCAGATGACTAGATGACCTTTGTGCATGTCTAACAAGAAGGGTACAGTTGGGTTTGGGAGTGACCTTTTATCTAGGGTGCTTCCTCTAGCCATATTCAGCTCTCAAGCTTCATACCTCAAAGAGCCCATAGATCTTTCCTCCACAGATCTTCCTCAAAGCTGTGCCCCCAGGGTCCTTTGAGGCAGGAGATGGGGGAGGCCTGCAATCACTGTTCTGATTTGATGACATGAGCAGGGATCACAGCAGATGCAGGTTGGATTACTTTCAGAAACTCTATATGGTGGGGGGTTCTGTGTACACTCTCAGTTCTCACCTGGACAGCTCAAAGAGCCAGGACTTCTTGGATTCACCAACCTCTGACCAAGGCTGCAACTCCCAGAGTTTCCTGAGGCAGAAACGGGTAAAAAGGGTATGGGGGCACTTGCCTGACTGGATACCACAGTGTACTCCCAGGGTAATAAAGCAAGATACGACTGGATTTTTTAGTCACTCTTTGTGAGGGGTGCAGCCTGTCTATCTGCCTTTCTCACAGCCATACTTTTCAGAGTCCCAGCGTTTTCCTCTGCTAGATCTCAGTCGGAGGTACTGATTCCAAGGCTCCTCTGAGTTTGAAGAAGGGGTGTGGGAGTGAACTAGGAGGTATGTTGGTGATCTCCTGACAAGATGCCCGTATGTGCTAGGCTGACAGAGGCAGGTCTGGATTATCTGGGGTCCCTGCTTGTGGTAGGTGGTTTGCTGTATTCTCTCCCAGTTTTCAGGTGGTCCTCACAGACTTCCCAGTGGCCATTTCCCTGAGGAGACCTCCAAGCAAGGATCTCTCAGGGTTCCCTTGAGGGACATCCTCTATGTTCCCCAACTCTCACGGGACTTCTCACAGAGCCTGAACCTTTCCCTGGCAAACGTCCAAGTAAAACTCTAATTCCCAGTGTTCCCCCAAGCAGGAATGGGGGTCGGGGTGAGGAAATGTGGGGTAGGGGTGATGGCACTGTAACTGTATGGTACTCCCTAGTGGTACTAGGGTAAAAAGGGAGACAGGGCTGGATGGGCGGGGAGGGGAGAGAGAAACTCTACCTTGGGTGTGTTTCCTCTGTCCTCCCTAACTCTCACCAAGATGGCTCAAAGAGCCAAAACATATCCTTTCCCTACATCAGAGCAAGTGTGTGACTCCCAGGGCTCCAAGAGACTAAAGGAGTTGTGTGTGTGGGGGGGGAAGGATGCCCACCTGATGTTCCTGTGTGGCACAAAGGTGACAACAGGGTCAGAAATGGATTGTTTGGGGTCCCTCAGGTGTCACTCTGACCCATCACACTCTCGAACCACTTTCCTCACATACCGGAGGATTCCCAATGGCGAAGGAGTGGTGTGTGTGTGTATAGGGGGAGGGGTGATGGGATGGATGGTGGTCCTCCCCTGACTGAATGTCCCGTAGTAGTGCTGAGATAAAAACAAGGAGGCCACACGAGAATTTTAGGGGGGGACGTTGTACCTTCGCGGCGTTTCCTCTGTCCTCCCCACCCAACCGTCACTCGACCCCTCACAATAGACCCGAGCATCCTCTTCCTTCCACAAACCTTACTAAGGGACCCCTGGAACAGAAAGGAGGGGTGAGGAGCGGCGAAGGTGACTATGTAGCTAACCCTTTGCAGCTACAATTGTGACAAGAAACAGGGCTGGACTTTCGGGGTGAGCCTCTACCTTGGGGATGCTTTCCCTGCCCACCCTCTGCTCTCACCGCGACCTCTTAGAAATCCCCCGCGTCCTCTCCCCTCCACAGGCCTGGATCAAGTAGGCCAGTCCCAGAGTTCCCTGAGGTGAATGCCCAGTGATGGCGGTGTCCTGACTGGACACGCCCTGATGTTGCCGGGTAGAAAGGAAGGCTATGGACTATTGGCATCCCTCGACGTAGACGTGGCCGTGGTCTGCCTCCCTCCGCCTTCCCCAGTTCCCACCAGACCCCTCACCAACTCCGGGCAGCCTCCTCCCCCCTGCCACAGAGCCTGACGACCAAGGCACTGCTGAGAACGCCGCCCGCTGCTCGCCCGCTGCTGCTGCTCACCCTGAAGTGAGCGCTGGCGTGGGGGATGGGGGGCACTGTCACGTGCTGAGGCAAACTTGTGTGGGGAGGGGGCCGGGGCAGGCAAAGGGCGGGAAAAACTGATGCTAGTCACTTGAGGACTGATGCCAGTCATGTGACTTGACACCCTCTAGAGGTGCGAGGCAGAAGGAATGAATGAACGGGAAAGGGAGGGAGAAAGGGACAGGTGTGCATACCAGTAGTCATGTGACTCAATGCATCCTAGTAGTGCTCGGCAAAATAGACATGACTAGACTACTTACGGAATCTCTCCGTGGACAGGACTTCCTCTAGAACCACCCAGCTTCCACATGACCCCTCACCGAATCCCAGTGGCCTCTTTCTGTCACAGACCCTGAGCAAGGCACTAACGCCCGGAACTCCCTCAGGAGGGAGGAGGAGCCAGTGAGAGATGGGGAAGGATGGGGAAGGGGTCAGGGAGCGGTCACAGAGCTTCTCTAAATAGAACCTCAGAGTCTGGGACATCTTCGGCCAGCTTCGTATCAAGGCTCAGACTCCCATGATTCCCTGAGGTAGAAGGAAGGACCTTGAGAGGTGGGGAAGGGTGTAGTACTAATGCCAGTGCTGCCTAAGTCATGTCTCCCATCCACACCCCTGAGCTCAGACCTCAGACCTAGCACCTAACCCCGCCCTTCACCTCACACACTGCCTTTGATGTGACCCTGGCTCAGGTCCTATCTGCTTTGACATTACATTCAGTTGATGTATGTGGCTGACCAGGGCTGACAGATACCATGAATAAAGATTCTCCAGAGTCTCTCCCTCCCTGTCTTACAGCCTCCGTTTTAGTTCCTGGCAAGGCCTAGATATCCTGCCCTTTACAGACCTTAGTCTGCTAGGAGATTGGTCAAGGCTGACCATGCTGTCCACAGCCATCCAGGATTGATCAGGCATCCCACCTGAACTTCAGTACCATGAAGGGACTGACCAGTGGTTCCTATGGGGTTTCTTTCCTAGCTTCACATAAATAGTTGAAAAGTATACTTTGGAAAGATTTATTTTTGCACAAAATGGATTGATGGTGACAGATAATGTGCACATTTTGAGAAATTAACATCGCATAGTTGGGTTAATTTTTGTTTTGAAACCACAGTCAGAAAATGATTTTGCATCACATCTATCTATGTTTATATATACACATACATATATATACACACATATGTACACATCATACACAGATCAGTACATACATAAGTAGGTAGATGATAAAATGTTAATATTCTGAACTTGATTACATTAAAAAACCTTAGAAGGTGACTAAAGCAACCTCTTTGTGTATCTGTGAATCACTAGAGCAATGATCACCCGCATCACGTGCTTACATATGGGAGTCACAGTGCTACTGCGTTGTACTTGGAAAGCAGAACATTGAACTAAAAACTGTTGCTATTGAATCCTTAATATCTTAAGAATTTCTTGGGATCCAGCACCCCTTTCTGATTTCTCCTCTGATGTCTCCTATTTGAAATGGGATGTCTGTTCTGGGCGAGCCTCATTATTGTGTTTGGAAGCACATAACTTGTCTGATATCATAGGTTCCCATATGAAGAGGAATATTGGTGACAATGTATCATAATTCATGTTCCACTTTTGATAAGGCTTCAGGCTTCAGCCTTTAGGGTTCATGCTAGAATGAGTGAACACTACTGGGGCTGTTGGGATGGAGTGAAAGGACTTTGCATGTGAGATAGATGGGAAGCTGGAGGCCAGGGGTTGAATCTAAGAACTAGTTCCTGGGACAAAGTCCTCACCTCCAGTATCCTGTGTTTGGTCCTAAGGCCTCTATGGATGTAATTATGGTTAAAGGTGGTCACAAAGTTGGGCCTTGATCTAATAGTATTAGTATTCTTATAAAGATAGGGGATGAAAGAAAGCTATCTGTCTGTCTGTCCATTGTCTGTTTTTCCATCTGTCTGTCTGTCTGTCTGTCTGTCTGTCTCTTTCTCTCTTTCTCTCTGCTCTCCCCTATTACAGAGACTGAAAGAAGGCCAGGGAAGGGTATAGTAAAAACCCCAGCCATTTAAGCCAAGAATCAAACATTCCTTCTAGACCTTGATTAGAGAATTCTAGCCTCCAAAACTGTAAGAAAAGAAATTTTGTTTCAACCTCATACAAATGGTATGTTCTTAGAGCAGCCAAAGCTGAGAAAGATGTAATTGAATGTAAGAAAATCTTTATTCTCTTTTTTTCACTTAAAAACATTTGTATTTGACATTTAGGCCTATAATTCATTTTGAGTTATATTTTTAGATGGGGAAAGTTATGTGTGTTGGTTAATGTATCAGTTTGGTTAGATCACAGCATAATGTTGTAGTTCTAATAAGTATAGTAATGAATGTGTTCTGTGAAGGTATTTTACAGATAAAGCTTTAACAGCCCAAAATGGAGGTTTCCTGAAGAAATAGTTATGCCACAAATTTGGAACAGAGACTTTGTCTGTAACTAGACCATTTTCAAAAGAAAAAATACAAGAGTCAAAAAACATGAAAAATGCTCAGTATTATCAGACATCAGGAAAATGTGATCAAAACTACAATGAGACTGCACTTCAAGCTAGTTAGAATGGCTACTAGCAAGAAAAGAATAAAAGAGATGAACATGTGAGATTGAAAACCCCAACACATTGTTAGTGGGAATATAAAGCCATCATGAACAGTATGACAGTTCCTCAGGAAGCTAAAATGACATCTGCCTGATGACCCAACCAGCCCATTTAAGAAATCAGCATACAGGGCTGGGAAGGTGGCTTAGTGGTAGAGCGCTTGCCTTACATGCTCGAGGCCCTGGGTTCGATTCCTCAGCACCACATAAGCAAAAAATTAAAAGCCAGAAGTGGCACTGTGGCTCAAGTGGTAGAGCGCTAGCCTTGAGCTGAAGAGCTGAGGGACAGTGCTCAGGCCCAGAGTTCAGGCTCCACAACTGGACCCAAAAAAAAAAAAAGAAATCAGCATACAATAGAAATACCTGCATTCCCATATTTATTGTGAACCATTTACACACAATAGGTAAGATATGGACTCGACCAGTTTCCTATCAGCAATTCAGTGGATATATATTTATATACATATATATGTATATGTACAATGGAGTATTACTCACTCATGCACAATAAAATGATGTCATTTGCAAGAACATGGATTGAACTACAGTGCATTATGGTAAGTGAGGTAAGCCATACACAGAAAGATAACTATCATGATGTTCTTTCTTAGATATCATGAATGGTGAATTCAATTTGAATGCAAGAATGCAGGTTTTGAAGAGAGGAGGAAGATGGATAAAGGAATCAGATTTAATAGTAACATGCTGCATATGTTAATATTACTCCGAGCCAGACACTGTGTCATACATATAAGTAATCCCTTCTACTTGGAAGGTAGAAATCAGGAAGACCAAGGTTTGAGTCCAGCCCAGGAGAAAATTTAGCTGAACTCCATCTCAATAAACAATCTGAACAGAGATATGCAGAGTTGTAATCTCAGCCACAGGTAAGATAGTGATTTAAGGGTGGCTCACACTCTAACCAAAACGTAACTAAGTTAATAATGGGTTGGGACATGTGTTGCCTGCTTAGCTGGTGTGAGGCCTGAATTCTAACCTCAGTACTGAACAAAAAAGCTCATACTGAAATTCAATATGCATAATTTATGTTCCATTTGAAAGTGGTCATTTTAATCTAGGAAAAAAACATCAAGGGACCTCTTTGAACACTGGGAAAAGGAGGTAGACAGGATGGGAGAGTTTTCTGGTAGTCACCAAGAAGTAGGATCTTCAACACGTCTACAGGTGGGACATTTGCAGCCTAGGCAATGATGAAGAGTGGGAGAGAGCAGAATGTTCTCTCCTGGGAAACATGGGGAGGTAGAACACCCTCTCTTCACCACCGTGGGATCCAGTAGAAATGAAATAGGGAGATGAGGAGGGATGGTAAGTCAATTGGAAGATCTTTGGGAGTGTTAGCAGCAAGAACATCTTGGCCTCCCCTCCCTCCACAGAAGAGTCAGGATGGTGCTTTGTGGTGCCCAAGCCCCTCCCAGGCCAGGACTAGACTAACTTGAGTTGCTCCCTGACCAAACAATGGCAAAGTGTGGGATCACTCACTGTCCTGGGAGGAAACATTCAGGGCAGTCTGGCGGGGAAAAGATGGCCAGAAAGCTACCAACATGTAGCACAGACACTGAACATCTGACTTCAAGTTCCCCAGGGAGGAGGAAAAGGAGCGCCAGTGTTCAACTCAGGTTCCAGCCAAAGGTGAGCTAATGCACCCAAGGTCCTCTCATTTCCCCTGACCCCTCCTCCCATAACTCCTTCCCTGTTCACATGTAATGCAAACTCCTCAGACTACACCCTTTCCCATGAAGTCCCAGTACCCATGACCCTCAACTTTGCTTTCCCAAACCAATGCTTGTGATCTCCCTGTTGTCCTTCTAGCTTCCTAGGACAACACTGAAGGCCCCCCCAAGCCCCATTAAAGGCTTCTGAAGAGAAAAGCTTTCTCTACAACCCAGACTGCTTCCGTGAAAGCTTAGAGAAAAGAAGAAGACAGACATAACTGTCATTACCTGGTAAGTATGACACTTCAATACCATGAACTCAAGCAGGAACAGAAGAATGAGGTGAAGTCCATCAGATCCAGCGACTTGACAGTGAGGCCCAGGGACTTCAGAGTTGAGTGAGAGTCTCCAATGGTTTGGCTGCTGGCAAGTGGTTCTTTGGATAGGCAGGTTCTATACAACTGGTGTACAACATGGATGAAGAGAAACTGACCTCTCTCAAGATATGTGAGTATGCACATGATCAGTGACATCTGAGAGGGAGGGACAAGAGGAAAGAGGCAGTGTAAGAAGGGCAGGAGGTGGGGCATCTTGAAATGCAAATCTCATATGTAAATCTAACTTTGTGCTTCCTTAGACAAACACTTAAGTGTTCTATATTATTTTCCTCAATGTCTTTTGATTTATTGATTATTTAAGAATATATTTTCCAATTTTTCAATATATGGGCACTGTCTGGATAATTTTCTCTTTTTTATTATTATCTTTAAGTATTTGTACAGAGGAGTTGTCATTCAACAAAGCAGTTTATGAATATAATGAAACTTAATGTCACCTCTTTCAACATTCTCACCTATCCCTCTAAACCCACCCCTTCATTCACTTTTCTTAATTTCATTGGAATATACATTGAATTATTGACTTCATTCTGGTTTTGATTGTGAGGTATCTTGCATTGTGGTTTAGGCAGCTATTCTACCCCTTAAGCCCCATCTCCCATCCCTTTCTGCTTTGTTTTCCACGTGGCGTCTTGCTTTATGCCTCAGTGGTCTTAAGCTGCCATCCTCCTACTTGAGCTTTCCCTATGTTTGTGGGGATGCTAGGCTGATACTACTGAGCTGGCCATTGTGTTTCCTCCTTAGTTGTAGTAACGAGCAGGCACTTGTCTGCCTGTTATCATGATTTTTTCTGCTGGAGCTGGCCTCAATCTGAGAGCTTCTGATCTATGTCTTTCAAGTAGCTAGGATTACAGACTTGCACCAGCACCCATCCTTTCCAATGTTTAAGTTTTATTTATTTTTTAGCCCAGAATACCAGCTATCTTGGTGGTAAATATTACACACACAAACTTGACAGGGCTGTTTACATTGCTACTGTTGGCTACAGTGTTCTATATATTTTCATTAGGCAAAAAGTGGTTAGTGGTTTTATATATCTATATTTTTTGCTTCATTTGTCTTGGAAATATAGATGGACAATTCAAAGCGTTTTGACAAATACTTAGTCCTATAAACTCACAAACACAATCCAGATATGAAATATATTCATCATCCTCTAAAGTTTTTTCAGACTACAGCTTCAGTAGAAGTGATGTGTACAGAAGTGCTCACCTGCCAAGCAACAGTTCCATCCTTTCCATCCAAAGGTAAGTGGGCATAGAATGCAGCTGTTACTGGAACACCCAGACAAAATCCAGAAAGAAAAGGAGATCAGTAGTATCATAGTATAGTATCGTAGCTTGCTGGTCTAAAGATTGTTCCTTTCTATGTACTATCAGCCCCCATATTTGGCCTTCCTGGTCTTCACTTGGCGACTTATCTCCTCTCTTCCAACTACAATGCCGGCTTGCTCAGCATTCCCCAAGTGCTGCTCCTTCCTGGAGCAGAAATCTCAGCCTGCTTTACTTCACCCTCCAGATTCTTGATAGTTCTTGAGGAAGACACAGTAAGAGCAAAGGAATTAAACTTTATTCCTTCCTTTAGATACTATACAGGAGTCAGAAGTACTATGCTTGGGTTCATTGTGTAGATACAGTTTGGGTGCAAAGATGTAACAGGCAAAACCCTCACCAGGTCACCTTACTGAGAGATATTTTCCATTATGGTTCAGGCATCTCCCTTCTGCACCTGTCAGGTCAAAATGACTCTTTCTGAACATGGTAAGGATTAGGCACAGAATGGCAATGCTAGTACTGATGGCAGCCCAACAATTCCCTCTGTACTCTTCTTAATATTCTCTGTCTGGAACCTCAGTCCAAAATAAGGGCTACAGCCCTAAAACCTAGACTTTGTACTTTCAAATTCCTCTCATACATAGTATAGTAATTTTTTTTTCTTTTTGGATGTACTGGGATTGAATTCATGACCCTGAGCTTTCTAGGCAAGGCACTCTACCACACACACAATCTTGTCTTCTTAATATTTTTGATAGGATTTTGTGGTTTTGTTTTGGTATTTTTACCCCAAGGTCGGTTTGGAAACCACGAGCCTCCTACCTGGGATTATAAACATGCTCTACCGTTCTTGACCCTGAATTTAGTCGTCATTCTAAGCTTGGGAGAATAGCAGGGGAGCTTCTCCATTTCTATTTTTGCAGGCCAAAAATCTGGACATGAATGAGGCAAAGCATTTTGTCCAAAGTAAGTGTTGGGTCTTATGTACTTTCTGCACTTTCTGTGGGACATGTTCCATACTTACTATAGTGACATAGCTGAGCAGCTGTGGCTCCTCTGTCCCATGAAAGGGAGGGAGGGAGGTTGACAAAGATGGCCAAGGCCTTTGAGGTCCTACTTGTATGAAGGAGAAAACACTATGGACTTGAGACAACAGGATTCTCTCCTAGATCACTGGCAAATCTATCAGTGGCAGAGCTGAGCTCTTGATGTCTGCCAGCTCTGCGATCTTCCCCCAACTCTAGTGTTCTTTAGAGCTCCGCTTGTCCACATGTCCATCTGGGACAATGCCCCTGTCCTTTCCTTGCCCCCCCCCCATTTATTTTATGTCAATTGTCCTCCCAGCCTCTCCACTCTTGCAAGTATATTTCCACTATTTGTCTCAGTGCAGCAACCAGGCAGACACTCTACAAGTGACTGAGAGGAGAACGGCCTAAGAGGTCCTGAGATCAGCAAGTTCTCTCTAGTAGAGACCCCCCCCCCCCCAACAAAGTTCACAGGCTGAGAGACTTGGATCCTTTCTCAAGGTTTTTTTGGTAGACTCTGTGAGTCTTACCAGAAGCCTCAGAAGTCTAACTTGCCAAATTGAGAAATAGGATCCCAAAGCCGGAAACAAATTTTGTCCTGCTTTCCCCTACTGAGATGAGAGAAAATGAGAACGAGAAGGCATGGAACCTAGTTCCAGATTTTCCTATAAGACTCTGTAGCCTCAGTACTACCACTTTATCTCTTGGGCTACACTTCTCCCAGTTTTACAGTGCTGACTCCATTGCAAATTTATGTTCATTGAGCATTATTTAAAGAGTATGAAGTTGGCACTACATCACCTTATTCATTAGGGTATGGCTAAGAAGTATGATTAAGAAGTAGCCCAAGGCTGGGGCCGGGAAGGTGGCCCAGTAGTAGAGTGCTTGCCTTGCATGCATGAGGCCTTGGGTTCAATTCCTCAGCACCACATAAGCAGAAAAAACCAGATGTGGTGCTGTGGCTCAAGTGATAGAGTGCTAGCCTTGAGCTGCAGTGCTGAAGGACAGCGCCCAGGCCCAGAGTTCAGGCCCCATGACAGACAAAAAAAAAAAAACCAAGTATCCAAGGGAACTTAGTTTCCACCGAGGGAGGAGAGGACAGTTAGAATACAAAAATAACTAGCTTTGATTATATCATACCTGCTAAACGTTACAAAACAAATGAAACAGAGAAATGGTGGTTAGTGTGCCAAGCCTGCTTTAGTTAGCGTGGATCTGGGCTTAGGCATGGCTTAGAGCTCTAATGGAATTACCACTGTGGAAGCCAGTGCAATAATGAGCAGTGAGAGTCATAGTACAAACAGCTGAGGTCAACTTGCCTCTTCCTTTAGAACCTTATAGTCTCTGCCCTATCTGCTTTATCCCATCTCCTGGCCCCTGACAGGCCCTCCCTTGAATCCATTTCTCCAGCTCTAGTGCTACCCCTGATTCTTTTAGGGCCTCCATGCCACCAAAGCTCTGATGAGTCTGCTCGTCTTGTTCAGACTTATCTTTAACACCAGCTTAGTTTCACCTGTTAGAGGAAACCTGCCCCTTGACAGCTCTCTCTAAGACACTAATAATTCCAGCATAGTTTGGCACAGAGGAGGGGGTGGTGGTGTGCTAGATATATATGGCTTGGCACAGCCAGTGGTGCAGCAGAGCTTGTGCACTCCCTAACTGGAGGCTTTGTACTCTCTCAGAGTACCAGGAGCAGTCAAGAAGAAGCTAATGACAAGGTGGAAGGGGAAGAGAAGAGATGGCTGGGTATAGAAGAACTGTAACTGCTCTTCACTCTTTCACATCAGTTACTCCTGACTTTTATTTCTTGTGACTGGATGATTTCTCTCCCTCAGTTTTCTCCATGTAACCATTAAGTGAAATGGTTCTCCACACTGTGCTTCAGAACTTCCAGAATTTCCATTCCTTATTAATACCATTCATTGACCTCTCTTCTGAGAGTCAAAACAAAGCTTTTGGTTAGCTCTCCAGGTCCCTTCACTTGGACACCTTAACGGGCATTTTAACAAAGACAAGCCTGAAGCAGCCTCACCATCTCCCTCCTTTCTTCCTCCAGCCTAGGGGTGGTAGTAGTTTCCTACTGGGTTGACTCTTACAGTTTGGTTCCTCAGTAATTCCATCTCATATATGAGTAATCCCCTGCATTACATTTATCCCCTTATAAAAGTTAGAGTGGTTTGGGTTTTCCTAGTTGAGACTCTGACTGGTATAACCCTTAGTAATTCTAGCCTGGGTTTCTGTAATATCATTTCACCAAATCATCCTGATGCTTATTCTATTCCTAATTTTGCTCCTAACATTACTGATAGAATAATGTGCCTCACTGTTGTATTACCTTCTCCTGAACTCTTCAATAGCTTTCCATTTCTGACAGAGTGGAGTGGAGTCCTTGCCTTGGTTTGCTGTCTGGTGAGGGAATAGGTGGGAGAGAGGACTGTTGTCAATGTTTGGGTACTCGATGGGAACCAGAGCAGCAAGTTCAGGGTGCCCTTTGACTAGGAATGCATTTTCAGATTCCCTTCTCATAGAAAGTATGTGAACTCTCCAAAAGCAGCCTTCATGAATAATAAATGTTTCAACACCCAGTGATAGACACAGAACAACTGATTAAAAGCTCCTGGTTCATACACTTGCTACATTGTCAAGAGATTCCCTCCCAACAACTGCTGATTATAGTGTACCTGTAAACCAAGCTGAAGAGACGAATTTATTTTTATAGTTCGCATTGCTCAAGATGGAATAAGGAAAAAATGAAAACACTTGAAAGACTTTTAAAAACTTTTTAAAGACCTTTAAAAGAACTCAAGGAAAATAAAAAACTAAAAGAAACTCTTGGAGCAAGCCGTAAGTTTTGTACATACAATTTATAATATAGGATCTTGAGCTTGAGCTTTAGCTTGGGACGTTTAATAGTATTTGGAGAAAAATTGTATTATGTGATTCTGCAGGATTCAAAATAGGTTAACCATCCAAATGCTTATAGAGTCAAAATGTTTGCAGTGGCACAAAAGGGGCAATTGAGAGCACTATCAACATCCTAGCAGTGGGTGACTTAATTGTGGTTTTATTCAGAATTGGAGATTTGCCTGGGTTCATAGAGTGAATTCCTGTGTTTGCTAGTAGGGGAATAAGTAGTCTAGACTTTCAGTATCACTGCATAGTATTTGTACCATTATATGCTGAGTCTCTTGCCCTGTGATAAGATTAAAGTTGAAATGGACTTGATAGATGTGTCAGGTCTACGTCATTTAAGTGTTTACAAATTCATCCAGTGATTGCTAATGGCTAACCTAACTGCTTTTGGTAACAGAGTGTTAGTGAAGAGAGGCTTAGTACAATGAAGTGGCAAATGTAGTTTAGAGAAACAGATGAAAAACAAACCAACAAATAAAATAACTTTAGATAATTGTGGTGACTTATGGGCGATAAAACAGAGAAACCAAATATTATTTGGGGTTATGATCATGGGGTACTAATTTATAACACACAGTCAGTGACAGCCTTTTGTTCAGGAGTTAATACTTGGCTTGAGAGTTGATTTAGTTTTGAATGCTGGGAAGGAGAAGCCATACAAAATTACTGTGGTTTGATCTCAGGTTCTTGCATTTGCTAGGCAGGTGCTCTATCACTTGCTTTGGTTACTTTTTGTATGGGGTCTCACATTTTTCCAAGTCACCCTGAGGTGTAATCCTCTTATTTATGCTTCCCACTATAGCTATGATGGAAAGAATATACCAGCATGCTTAGCTTTTTATTGGTTGAGATGGAGGTGTCATGAGCATTTTTGCTTGGGCTGGCCTCTTATTGCAATCCTACTCATCTTAGCCTACTGAATAAAAGAATTATAAGCATGAACAACTGCACTCAGCATGGGAACATATTTGCTTAAAGAGACTGTAATCTCTCCAGTCCTTGGAGCCCTGGCATAAAGACAAGATGCAGGACACCTTTACTTCTGCCTCTGGGGTATCAGGAAGGAGTAGGCCTGGTCATGAGCACTGTGGCCTGTGATCAACAGGGTCTTGCTGCAAGATAAAGAAGATATTGCATCTAAGACTTAGGAAATCATCCTCATATGTCAGCCTTGGGGCTCCAGGTAGGAGAATAAGAAAAAAATGCTGCCTCAGGCTTCCTACTCAGGGTTCTGATGAGGGTCAGGGAAATACGGTTGCTTTGGTTTGCAAGATGGACCTGCAGATCATCAGAGTTAAAGCCACCAGGCCTATTGTAAACATGAAAAGAGGTCCCCTTCAGTCAGCCTAGGGAAACTTCTGCAGCGGTGTCCACGGGGATTATAGCTTCATTTTTATCTTCCAGATCTCAGGAGGGTGAGACCTTGAAGTGAAAGAACTTATCAAGAGAGCCGAAGGAGCCCTGGCTAGTCAGCAGACAGAGGTGTCCAAGGTCTGCCACAGTCTAGTCTGTGAGGGTCAAGGTGAGTACAGAGAGGAAACCTCTCACTCACACATATGAGATCCCAACCCCAATTTTCCCTTTACATCAACTATGGAGTACCTAAAGACAGTGGGGCCATTTTCCTATACTCCTTTTACTACTGTCTCACTGAAATAGGGTTTTGGCTGAAGAAAGTTGTCTTCAGGTGATCAGAGGGAGAGTTGAAGATCTTAGCATTTGTTCCTGGGCAGTTGTACCCACATCTGAGGCCCCCTCTCTGTGTTTTGGTCCATATATGAAAGGTGAATCAAGAATTGGCCTCAGGTGAGGGAGAGGCACAGAGTCTCAGATTCTGACAGGGGAGAGGTAAGGGTCCGCAGTGAGCACAGAGGGGCCATCCACCTCAGAACAGGGTAAACCTTGAAGAGCCATCTCACCCCTTCTGCCATGCTAGAGACTCAGTGATATCCTTAAAAACCACAGCTTGATGGAGGGAGGGCTGTTAGGTACATCCACCAGCTCCAATCATCAAGAGATGATGGTCTTGGTGTGAGATAGCGTCTTCGGGTCACAGTGGAGATGATGCCCAGAGAGGATCAGGTGTCATTGTGGCTACCTACTCTGAATGTCCCAAGTGCCCCACTACCCCAGAACACAAGGAACCCCATATTTCCCAGCCCCATATGCCCTACAGGTAGCCCTAGAGCCTTAAGCTCTGTAAGATTACATGCACACCCTGAGACAGCATTTTAATTTCTCCTTAGGCCCTCAGAAGACAAACCCATTAGCAAGACACAAACTCTGGTAGCCATAGAACACCTCCCCCCAAGAGAAGTCTATTAATATATATTTTAAATAGTCTATTATGAGAGCCACCAATTGTATGATTTTCAGCTGAGTCCACTCACCAACTCCCTCTCTCCCCAGGTCTGCGAGTCCTTCACCACCGAGTTGCTGTTGGCATTCTTGCCTGCTGTACCCAAGGAAAGCCATGATGCCTTATAGTCAGAAGACCCAACAGGGAAAGTATGAGAGGAGTCTTCATGCCCAAAGAGGGATGCTACAACTGATGGGTGAGCTGGTCTCTGTGTCTCAGGTGGAGAAGGCAACTGCCACAGCCACAGCCTCCTCCATTCCTCTCATCCCAGCTACCTCAGAGGAGGTGAATGAGGGTAGGGAACTATATGATTCGCAAAGTTCTCTGAGTGCCTCCTCTCACTGCCTTAATTTGGTGTCCACTCCACAGAGCAAATTGAATCAAGGCTCTAATAGCCAAGGATCAGAAGATCTATTGTCCTAAGGCAATGTCTTCGGCCCTGTGTCTTTGGTGCAACATGCAGCATCTTTAGTGCCCTTCTTGCTTTTCAAGTATCAGATGAAGGAGCCCACCACCAAGGCAGAAATGTTGAATCATGTGATCAGAAGTCACCACGAGTACTTCCCTGTGATCCTCAACAATGCTTCTGAGAGAATGCAGCTGGTCTTTGGCATTGAGTTGAAGGAAGTGGATCCCACCCACCACGCCTACATCCTTGTCACTTCCTTAGGGCTTACATATGATGGGATGATGAGTGATGTCCAGGGCATGCCTAAAACGGGCCTCTTGATAATGATCCTGGGTGTCATTTTCATAGAGGGCAATTGTGCCCCTGAAGAGGTGGTCTGGGAATCTTTGAGTGTGATGGGGGTGAGTCCTGGGTTATCGCACTACTTTTATGGGAATCCCAGGAAGTTAATCACTGAAGATTTTGTGCGGGAACAGTACCTGGAGTACCGGCAGGTGCCCAACAGTGATTCTGCTCGCTTTGAGTTCCTGTGGGGCCCAAGGGCCCATGCAGAAACCAGCAGGGTGCAAGTCCTAAAACACTGGGCCAAGTTCAGTGGGTGTGATCCAAAGTCCCTCTCAGACTTGTATGAAAAAGCTTTGAGAGATGAGGAGGAGGGCACCCAGGCTTAAGGTATTATCAGGCCCACTGGGGCACAAAGTAGTGTTTCTAGGGCCAGGGCCATACTCATGATCATTTCTCACCCCATGACACATGAAGTCCATTGTTCCCTCTGTGTTTGTAGAACGTAGTCATTATTGTCAGCAGTAGAGCCTGAAGGTAGTTGAGGGGAACATACTATGTACCATTTTTGTCCTCGTTGTTTGGGTTATGATGAAGTTGACTCTGGTTGTCTTTGGAATTTATCAATGGTCTCTTTTAATTGAGTTTATTTACTTTATAATGGAAAGTTATGAATGACAATAGTCACATACTTATTTTTGTTAATATAGTTTAGGATTGAGTTGTTTTAATTGTTAATGGGGAAACCATGTTGTTTTTTTCAACTTGGAGTGATTAACACAGCAATGGAGCAGATATTTCCTTGGAAATACCTTGGAAAGAACTCTTTGGTGAAACAGATGGAAAAATGAAAAATTATTGCTTGCCCTTCTTCTTTTGTCCTACCTGTAACATCAAACAAATATATGTTGGCTTGGATTTGCTTGGCTATTACTAATGAATGTAGGTAAAATTTCATCTTAATAAATATATGCCCCAACTATTGTCTCATTCCTTAAACCTTCACTGAGCATTGGTTTTGGAGTGCCTTTGATAAGTGGTAAAGGTATTTATTAGTAAACTAGGGTCAGTTGGGTTCACATTTACTCATAGTATGGTGGTATCTAGAGGCAGCATTTGTATCAAGGGGATGTTGAAATCCTGAGTGTAAAGGTTTTTGAAAAGAAGTGTGAGAAGATGTGGCAAAAGTGAAAAATACCACGTGAACAGTGGGGAAGAGAGGTCGGCATGTGAGTGAGAGTCTAGTTCACAAAGGCCTTATCTACTCTAAAAAGAAAGTGATCAGCAAAGTTCTCTGCATATTTAACTTACCAGGTAAGCTGAATCAATGCAAAAGGAAAGTAATGTACATATCATCCGATGTGGAAGAAATAACTGTATTGTCAAAGCTCATAGAACTCATAAACTTTATAGACCATGATAAAGACAATTTGCCCCATGAAGGTTAGATTGTTTTTGTGACTTTAAGTATCACTATCCTACAATACTGTGAAATTTGTGAAATTTATGTAATCACTTAATCACAATAAAAAATGCTAAAAAAATAACTTACCAGGTAAGCGATTGGTCAGGTAGTTGGGCACATATCTCAAAATAATAGTGACATCCCATTTGATCTCAACCACCACAAATGTTCATATGTCATTATCATCCAAAGTCTAGCCTGAGAGACAAAGAATTGTAATTTGGGAGGAGGGGGTTACAAAAGGGTAAAGCATTTGGACTCTTGTCATTTGTACCAATTTAATATGCTAATTACAAATGATCTTTCTTGTGTATGAATGTCAGCCAGAATCAAAACTCCTGGCTACTACTTTGGGTCTAATTTACAGTGTGAATTCATGTGCAAAAATGTAATGGAAAGAAGTTAACTCTTTTTCTTAAAAAGACTATATAAAACCAGGCCTCCAACCAATCAATGCAGCCTCTGTTTCTCACCATTACACCCCATACACGTACACCTCATCACACATCCAGGTTTTTTTTCTAACTTAGAAGGGTAAGGATAACAGGGGGTAGAAACTGGGGAAGAGGAGAAGAAGAGTAGGCGGTTGTGGGGGAAGGGAAGGAGGAGGGAGAAAGAAGGAAATACAGAGAACAAAAGAAAAAGATTGGAAGACATGGAAGAAGGAAGGACAGAAATAGAAAAGAAACATTCAAAATAAAATTTAAAAATATATTCAAATGACAAATACCTAGGTGGCTATCATCCTGGGTGAAAGAGAAATATATAGCACATTCTCACATTCAATTTATGGTTTATATCATACACAAGGTACTATTTTCAAGTGCATATAGGAGAGGTAGAATACCGCCCCCCGCCATTTAAGCTTTTAATAAGACATTTTCTGATTAATTCCACCAGCCAAACATGAGTGTGTGAGGCACTCATCTGATAGTGAACTGGCCCCAAATAGCCACAAACATCAGCTCTGAGTATTTGTCTATTGGAATTCAGTTTTGCTCACACAGTAAAATTACACACCATGATAAAGATTCAGCTTTTACTCATAAACCAATTTTCTTGACTTTACTTGCAGTTAGTCACATATGCTTTTCCCTGGGCTCCATGGGGCTAATAACTGACTTGATTAAGTGTTCCATTATTGACCAATTTCTTCAGACATAATTACACCATTCTACAGAATAGAAGTAGGCAGTCATGGGATGAGTTGCTGCTTTCGACCTTTCACCCTAAATGATTGGAGGATGCTAGGAAGTAAACTCTGGATTCATTATTATGTCTGAGCAATATGCATCGCAGCCTAGAGAATTTGGCTACTAACCCTGATGCTTTGGGGGTAATGGTAGTACAGGTAGCAAGCAGGAAAAATGGAGTTTGGTGGAATTTGGCTAAAAGCCTTCTTCTGTAGGTCCTGAGGGATTGGAGAGGCAGACCCCCTCCTTCCACCAGAACTATGGTGTGAAGAATCTGTTTTGATACCCAGGCTCTAACCCTGTCTGAGTCAGCTGACTTCTTTAGGTATAACATCTTTCGCTCAGGGGAAAATAGATGCTCATTTAACAAATATGTAATAGAAACTAATTCTATGCCAGGATCTGTGGGTGAAATCTGTGATACAGTAGGGAAAAGAATTGACCTTATGCTGCACTTGTTCCCTAAAACATAATAAATATGTAACGAATACAAAGGAGATCTCCCTATGGAGGTGGCTTCACAGGAAATGGATTCCCATCAGAGAAAACTACATAAGCATACACTAGAAAATCTTGGCTTCAAAGAAGAATGGAAGAAATTCCTGAAGGCATCACCAGAAGTACCAAGGGGAACTTGGAAACAGGTGCAACTGTAGAGGTAGGAAGAGCCCTGTAGAGGTAGGAAGAGCCCTGCAAGATTGTGAACAAATATGTGGATTTTACTTAAAATGTGATGGAAAAACACTGGGAGCTCAAGCATGGGAGAAAGTTGAGCAGCTTTAGATATTTCAAAGGTCTTTCTCCTTGCTTTGGAAACAGTGGATTGTAATAGCCAGGAGCTGATGTGAGACTATCACTGTGGTCCAAACACAAGATGTCACAAGATGTCAGTTCGTTACAGTTGAATGAAAGCCTTTGGTTATGCCTTTTTATTTTATTTTATTTTGAACTTTTTTTATTGTGAAAATACCGTACAGAGGGATTACAATTACATGAGCAAGGTAATGAGTACATTTCTTATCAAGCATTGTTGCCTCCTCCTTTGTTTCCCCTTCCCATCCCTTCCCATCTCCTCCCCCTTCCCACTGCCCCCCCCCCCCCCCGCCAAAGTTGTAAAGTTCGTTTTTCGACATAATGTCTTGTACATCTCATTGTTGCAATGGGTCCACCTGTATCCCTATTTAAACAATTTGTTTTTTTCCTTCCCTCCCCCAATTATACCTTTTTTTTAAACAATCTTTGAAGCTTCTCTTTTATCTATCTGTGTTACTATCCAATTTTCTCTCACCCAATTCATTAGCAAGTTCATCCTGTGAATGAGAGTTTCTATTCCTGAGGCGGTCTGGGATGTGATCGATTCAAGTATATAGAGAGTACAGGAAGGGATAGAAGGATGGGTTAGTAGGTATATGGATGATTATCATGACCCATAATATACTTCCCCAAATCCCTAATGCCCAGCCAAAATCTTAATACAACTCAAGTTTTCATACAGACTGGACCGAGGAGTGAAATGATGAGTCAAAGTCAGTTTATCTAGATTAGAGACAATAGCAGAACTAAGACTTAGGAACAATCTTCAGATAAGATGGGCTCCACTTGAAGGAAATAGATTTACTGGTTTTAGTAATAGATCCAGGAAATGTGTCAAAGTGATTTTAGAAAGTTATTTTGGCTGGGAGAAAGGTGGCTCATACCTATAATCCTAGATGCTTGGGAGGCTGAGATCTGAAGATGAAGATTGAAGCCAGCTCAGTCCAACAAAACCATTGGGAGGCTTATCGGTTGATCCATTGTAACAATGAGATGTACAAGATACAATTTTGAAAAACGAACTTTACAATTTAAGTGGGGAGGGGGGAGGGAGAAGGAGGGGAGTGTAGTTGGAGAGGTGGGAGGGAAGCGATGGTAGGGGAAAAACAAAGGAAGAGGCAACAATGCTTGATAGGAAATGTACTCATTACCTTGCTCATGTAACTGTAACCCTTCTGTACAGAATTTTTACAACAAAAACATATTTAACTAAAACAATTAACCAACAAAAAGTGAATGAAATAGAAGTGAGCCTCCAGTGGTAGAGTAAGAGCACAAAGCCTGGAGCCCAAGGTCCAGTACCAGTGTGCTCACACACACACACATACACACACATGCACCAGTGTGCTCACATACACACACACACACACACACATGCATGCACATACCACACACACACACAAGCACATTATTTTGCATGAACACTGGACACATACTTGTAAATGATACGAGAGATATGAAAGAGTTTGGTTACTTATAAATAAGTTCCTGACATAACAAACCATTCAGGAACCTTCTTCCTAGGTTCATCTTTCTCCCCCACTTCCTGCATATATACATCTCCAGTTCCCTCAATTGTTTCAATTCAATATCTTAGTGATAAATCAAGGGGTAGCACTCAAATCAAAGGCTCTGTAATTTTTGTCTAGAATTATGTAAATGCCTTCTTGGTGCCAATCTCATACATCTACAATTCATTCTATATCTAGCAAAAATATCTTATGTTTAAGTATTAAAAGTTGAACTTGGGGCTGTACATTTGCTAGGCAGGTACACTTGAGCCAAAACTCCAGACCTTATGGTTCTGGTTATTTTTTAGATAAATCTTTTTGCCTGGACTGACTTAGACCCATGATCCTCCTATTTATACTTCCTGTCATAGCTAAGATGACATGCATGGACATATTCCCTCTCCCTC